CAGTATCTTTTGCTTGTAAACCGGCAGGGTATAAAAACATGGCTCATGAGGTGTAACTTTGGGAGCACATCTTCTGAGTAAGGTGAATGTAACACTGCTGCACAAGATGGCTTCTCTGAGAGTGGTATCACATAGAACCTTTTTCCTGCACTATATTATTATTGAGTTATAGCAATAAACCTGACTGACATTGGTTATTTGGTCTCTTGAGTATATTTCATAACATACCGAAGTGTGGTCAAGCAATTGACTATACAATTTATCAACAATGCTGAAAGCAAAGTTCTCAACCCATCAAGACCCAAGTGTGTGATACAGGCCTTTACATGTGTGTAAAAAAAACCCAAAACAGTAGATGTCAATGAAGCTTGTAGTGGTTCTGGTGTTTCTCAGACCCTCCATTTTAAGGATTTGCATTTTTGATTAAGTTAATTTTCATTTATACACAGCAAAACAACACTGTGTGTGTGAGATCCAAATAATTGTGTGGCTAAAATGAGCACTGTGCCTTTAATGATGGATGGTTGAGTGGCATTGACTCAGTGAAAATGGTAATTCTTGTCCGTGGAAAAGTTGATTGTATTGAAATGAGAAAGGAGGATACAGCCAACAGAGAGTCATCAGATATGAAATGGGCAGGACAGGCTGATCAAGGAGATAACATTACTGTCTGCTGATAACTTACCAGGAGCTTTGTATTTTTTGAAGGTGTCATTTACTAATGGGAAAAAAAGCACTATAGGAGCTCTTGGACTCTCAGCATCTTCAAACAGATAGCACTCCTTCAGATTTTTCCTGTCTTCCTCACTCATCTCGATTCTGGGGAATGGGATTCCCTGCTCCGAGAAGTACTTCGCAATTAGGTCCAGAGGCTGAATCATCACAGAACAAAGATTTTAGAACTCAAAAAAGGGACAAAGACCAGGATTTCCTGAAACACAGTAACTAATGTTAAACTGCCTTTCTATACCTAAGGGGTTACACAGGAATTCCTATGGGAACATTTGAGGTTGGAGAAAGACTACATCATAGAATACTGATGTTGCCGTTTATTTTGCTCCCTGTAGCACTTTAAACAAAATGAGAAAGCAGTTACAGTAGTATAGATTCCACAGGCAGCTGAAAACTAAAGTATTAATTTAAATCTAATTTAAAGTAAAGTAAAGTAAAGTAAAGTAAGAGGATTCCATAAATAGATTTTGAAATGGAACATCAGAGAGGAAAGCACAAAGAGTATATGTATCTTTCTAAGATACTTATATGGGCCCCATCACCAAAGTATCTGAGCACCTTACAATCTTTAATGTATTTAGCTTCACATCACCCCTCTGAGGTAGGGAAGTGCAATTATCCCCATCTTCACAGATCAGAGGATGAAGCACAGAAAAGCTAAGTGACCTGCCCAATGTCACACAAAGTCTGTGGAGAAGCAGGGAATTGAACCTGGACTTTCCAAAGCCTGGGCTAGTGCTCCAACTATCAGTTCATCCTTCATCAGGATAATTTGTAACATGCAAAATTAGTTAATGAAAGACCTTGTAGAAATTTGAGTCCAAAGGCATTGAATTGTCCCATCTACCACAGAGTCAGCTGCCAGAAAACCTCATATAATCTAATCAAAAAGGAAGTAATAGCCATATAATTACATGTAATTTTGTGATGAACTAGTCAGAAAACTGAAATTTTTCCTGTAAGCAATTTTGAACGACAAAAAAAAAATCTTCATCTTAAATGTTTTAGTAAAAAAAAATCAGTTTTCTATTCAGAAACGTTTGAACTGATTAAAAGTGAGATTTTTTGTTTCAAATCAACATTTCAAATTGAAAGATTTTTCATTTCATTTAGACAACTTCCCTCCTATGTCACAATGGAACTCTCCACAATAAGAGTAAACCTTGTCTGTGCAGGAGATATAACCTTCTCCAGGGGTGATCCGAGACAGTGAAAAGAACAACCCCACAAAGGACCATCAAAAACCTCATCACTTTCCGCTCCAAGTCCAAGGGGAATTTCTTTGATCTTGCCTTCTCTAATAGGAATACAAATCAACAGGTACATTTATTTAACAACCACCACCTACCAAACAAGACACACCATGCACTTCTCCCTCTGGGGAGAAAATGAGAGAACAAACAGCATGTGACAGATGTGTAGTCACATTGCTTAATGCAATACTAGAAGGCACTCAGATACTATGATGATGAGTTTCAAGTCACCATTTTGAAATAAAATGTTGGGGTTTTATGGTTTTTTATAAACCAAAAAGTTGAAATGACACAACTGTGTAAGTTGAAATAAAATGAAGAAAATGAGTTTCATTTCAAAATGTTGGTTTGTCATTTGAGATTTAATGTAGGAAAATCTATTTTTTCTTGGAATTGACAGTTCCCCCCCACAAAAAATTCAGTTTCAACAAAACTGTACTTTTTGGTAGGTATATTTTCGTCATAAGAAATTTTTATCAACCTTAATAATTACTTTTTTTATTGTGTGTGCCTGTCAATTACTTTTCCTAGTTTTACTAGAAAATTACTAAGGAACACTGAGAATATCTTCATAAATTATCTTCCGTGAATTTGTTGGAATAGTATAGATTCATAGATTTTAAGGGCAATTGTCATAATCTATTATCTGACCTCCTACATAACACAGGCCACAGGACTTCCCTGAATTAAGTCCTGCTTCAAGTACAATACACAGAACAGAAAGATTTATCAAACACCGCTATTTTTCTGCATTATTATTAACAATTCTACCATTTCGAACTAGTAATGGACCAATGCCGTTGTTAGGATTTCTTGTCTTTCCAATATACTTTAAAAACTCCTCCTTATTGTCCTTAATTCTGATGGCCATAGATTTCTCCCTATCCGATCAACCATTGACAGACTTAGGAATTAAAACAGAGAAGTAGAAGCATAGATAGTGTCAATTAAATAGAGAATTTAGGCCACAGTTTCTGAAACAAGGAGGTGTGCCATTGTCGAACTAGTAGTGCAAACTAAATGAAGTTTCATTCTTCTGGAATCAATTTCCACTTCTACTATTGGAAAGTTACTAATTTTGGCCACAGGCACCGGCTTCTAATTTTCCCCAGGGGTGCTCAATACGTGCTCAGCCCCAGTTGTTGGTGATGGAGCCCACTCCACCCATTGCCCCAATGCCCCACCCCACCTCTTCCCTCTCCCGCTCCACCCCCAACCCACCTCTTTCCCACCTCTTCCCCCCTCCCCCGAGCACGCCCCATCCCCGCTTCTCCCAGCGCCTCCTGCATGTCGCGGAACAGCTGTTCCGCAGCATGCAAGAGGCGCTGGGAGGGAGGGGAGGACTTGATCGGCAGGTGGGAGTGGGGGGTAGGAGGGAGCTTGGCTGCCAGTGTGTGCTAAGCAGCAGCTAATTTTTCTTCCTGGATACTCCAGCCCTGGAGCACCCACAGAATCGGTGCCTATGATTTTGGCTACTAAATGCTAAAAGCTCTGAGGAAAATGGCCATAATGGAAAACTCTTCTCACCAATGTCTGTGATCCTCCACTGTAATTTAAATGCAGGATGACATCCACTTTCCTCTGAGGTAGCAAGAGTGGTGGGTAACTGGTATTGATAAAAAATCCAGTATCTGCCAGGGATAGAGGGTGCTGTGCTGTTTCAATTAGTTTGTTAGGGTAAGTGTCTATCACAGTGTCTGAAATACAAACATGTCCTGTTATAACTACCATAAGAATAGATGAGCTGCTTCCCTCATGATAATAATAAATGGGTCAAAGAAGAAAGGAGAATTCTGTCCCTACCCCATTGCTTTCTTTGGGTGTTGACACACTGTTGTACCACAGCAGTTCCACCTTGACTTAGCGGAACAAGTCTCTTGTTGTTCACTCCCTTCTTAGACTCCTCACATTGTTTTCAGCCTTTTTGTCTATCTATTTTGCCCCTCCCCCCAACTTTGCAGTCACTGTGCCTGGTGACATGCAACCCAACAAAAAATTAACTGAGACCCAACAAAGCAATTTCATTATGAACATTCATCAGCCCTGTACAAGCCAACAGACTGAACTTTAGTTCAAACTTCAGTGCTTGAGGAAGAGGATGTGGAATTTAAACATGAAATCCACATATTCTCCACAGCACTCAGCTCTCCTCAGTGCATTCCAAACCATCTCAAAATATACCACTGCAAATCATGCTTTATTACTGTGCCTTTCCATGTAGAAAAATGCTCATTCTCCAGGTACTCATTGTGCATCTGGAAGCCCCTTAGGAAATTGGGGAATTCTGCAATTGTTGGGCGCCCTGTTAAGACATCTCGGAAAGCAGTAGAAAGGGCGCCTGCAGGAGTCAACAGGCGAGTCTGTGTCTCATGAGGCTTTATGTGCAGAACAGGATCTTCCTCTGCGGAAAGGGGGGGAAATCTAAAATTCTTAGTTTGTCTAGATTAATTTGGGGGTGGGGAGTTCTCTGCAGCAATAATAATAATAATAATTATGCAATCATTCATAAATTGAATTTCTGGCCAACCCATAAAAAGGATAACTGTAATAAGCTAAGGCCTCGAATCCAAATAAAACTCAGAGTGGGAGCAAAATGATAAAGAAACCCCACAAAAACTCAGTACATTAAATGAACTACCACCCATAAATATAACATTAAGTTTACAATTAAAACCTAATATTTTACACTTAACAAGAATGGTGTCCCATTTGTAATTTGGTGCAAAGACGCCGACTTTCTGATTTCTCAGGGGGTGCTCAACCCCTGCTCTGCTCTAGACCCCACCCCCTCTCCACCCCTTCCCCCAAGTCCCCATCCCCGCCCACCTCTTCCCGCCCCACCCTGCCTCTTCCCACCCCGTTTCACCCCCTCCACCGAATGTGCCCCACCCTTGCTCCACCTCTCCCTGCCTCTGCTCCATTCTTCCTCTCCAGCACCTCCTGCTCTCTGCTGAACAGCTGTTCCGCATTTAGGAGGTGCTGGGGAGGAGGGGGAGGAACAGATTGGCAGGGCCCACTGGTGGGTGGGAGGAGCTGATCAGCGGGGCCCATTGGTGAGTGCTGAGCACCCACTATTTTTTTCTGTGGGTGCTCCAGCCCCAGAGTCCCCATGGAGTTGACGCCTATGATTTGGTGTAGGGTGCAGGGAATAGTATGCAGAGTCAAGGGCCCTCTATGAAGACAACACTGCTCCCTCAACTTTTGAGGCGGTAACTTGAATATTTTTCCTACTTCCTTTGCATCTCCCTTGCTCAAGGTAAAGCAGCTCCTAAATCAAGCAAAGAGATTGCTTTACAACAATAGAAGATCCTTTAATCCCTTTCCTGCCCTTCCCCCTCTGACCATGCTATCTTGCAGTAAGGCTTTAAAATCTCTTCAAAATGAGTGTGTATTATTTATACGTCAGACAAGTGTGGAGTACCAAGTATGGAAAAACAAAAACAACAGATGAATGAGATAAAAAAAGATAAACCACCCACCAATGTCTTTTACTCGGTCTCTAGTCCATCTGTACCAGAAGTCCTCTGAATCAAAGGCTAAATTCCAGAAGTACATCACGTCCAAGGAAAATATACCACTCCACATGCCTGTAAAGTGGAAGAGATTCAATAGAAACTAATTTGATGAAGTCTTGGAAGCATTTTAACTAAAAACTGCCTTTTGTCCTATCCCTTGAACATTTCCTTCCAAATTTTATAGACACCTTTGTGGGCATAGTTCCAATACTGCAAACACTTACACATATGCTTACACTTATTTGCATGAGTATTCCCATTGAAATCAAGTGTTTGCAAGCCTGGAGCCTATCTGAGCTACTGTTATAACGACTTCAGCTGTAGGAGCTTTAAATGCTAACTAGTTCCAAGTAAAGTCAGACTCAGAAAATGTTAAATTGTTTAACTACATAAGGTAGCAGTTTTCAAGTTATCTTCCCATCTCAGCTTTGCAGCTTCTTCATATTTCATCAGAAAAACATACATATTTTGTTCCTTTTTTAATATCTCAATTTCTCTTTCCCTTTGCTATTATTATTTAATTGAATAACATTATTAGCTCTCTGAAGATTGCATTAAAAAGCTGTTTTGTATTCTACTGTTTCAGAACATTACTGTTCTGTTTAATTATGTTGATGTTTATTAGGCTACGTTTCAATGCTATGTTGTTATATTCATCAGGATTCCAATAAGAGCCAAGTGGAAAAGAATAGAATAAGTCAAAACATTCTGTTTCATTTTTGGTCAAAATCTTGTATTGATTAACATTTTCTCACAAGCTATAGTTAAAAGTTAGCAATTGGACTATGCTGCAAGGTACACCCTGGCAGCCCCACCCAAACATGATAACAAGGGTCGGGTGTGGGTCAGGTCAGATATGAAAACAACTCAAAACTCTCGGGCTCAGGTCATGTTCGGATTAGGCTTTAAAATTAGGCCCAAGTAGACCTAAGTCCGCAGAGGGCAATGCTGTAACGAGAAGACACCCTGCTTCACATTACCAAGCCAGGCCTCCTGAACCCAACCCTACTGCCACTGTGTCTCCTTTCTTCCTTCCCTCCCGGGTACTGTGCAACAGCTGCAGGAAGCACAACTCTGCCCTTCCGCCCTGCAGGCAGCTCCACACTTGGCTCGGCTGTGCAGGCTCCCCATTGTCTGTGTGGCGGCACCCGCAGGAGGTGGTGCGGAGAGCATTTGCTCACCCAGTGCTGCTGGGGCCCTGGGCAGGGAAGCCAAAGTGTGGAGCCGTCACAGATGGGGCACAATGTCGGGGGCCTGGCAGCCGCTGAAAGACTGAAACAGGAACTGGACCAGGCTCAGGGCAGCTGGAACTGATGCTGAAGGGGGAGCAGCCATGTCTGCTCCAGACACAGAAACTTTGCAAGTCCCCCAGTGGATGCAGTGCCCCCCACATGCACTGAGAGATCCTGGGCCCCCATGGAGATGCTCAGCGCCATGAAAGCTGAAGTAGGGGGACAAAAGATGCCAGTGATTGCGAGGCAGCAGGGACTGCAAAGCCCAGCGTCGCCAGCCACTATTCCCCGGTGCTACCTGACCACCCCCAACCACCACTCCACCTACCAGCTGGAGGATCTGGAGATCCTGTTGAGTGACCAGGGCCAGCCCTACAAGACCATGTGTGCTTGGTGCGAACAAAGGAGCCAATAGGGCAAGCGAGAGCAGCAGCCACCTCCTGCCCACCCTGCCCATCTGACTGCCGCTCAGCTACTGACACACCTAGCCTGTGCTGCAGTGCAGCACCCCTGCAGCTCCAGCTACTACCACCATCCTCCCCCTGGGCACAGCTACAAGGGGTGCACTAGCTGTTGGCTCCGCAGGCAGTGGCACCACTTGCCCCCTCCCATTCTCTCCCACACCTTCTCCACCCCCATTACACACGAGACCCTTGCAACCCCCGACCCAACTCCAACAGGACTTAACTGCAAGAGTTGGGTTTAGGTCGGGTATGAAAACAACTCAACGATCTCAAGCTTGGGTCAGGTTCAAATTTGTTGTGGTCTGGTCAGTTTCAAGTCAGGCTTTAAAAAGGGCTGAATTCCAAATAATTGTGATATAAAAGGTAGCAAATGCCAGTGTTGGACAAATCAACTCAAGTAAAGGTATATAGAATCTAGCCGCTGCCCTATGTTTGTGAGTTGCCTGGTTTCAGAGCACAGTTAAACCAAACATACAACAGGTTTAGTTACTCTAGGACAATTTAAATTCAATGGAAAATCATTATCTGTTAGTGACACAGGTGGTACCATACATAGATTTCTGGCAGGTGATTCCACACCAGTGTCACCAGTGACAGATCATTTGCTCACCAATGCCTAGTTATACACCCAGCTGTATTCTTATTAGGTTAACAATTGCTCTAGATAATCGTCACCTTCCATGTAGCAAATCCGGCTTTCTGGGAACTTCTTCATCAGTCTTCCCATGAAAAATTCACTTCCAAAATCTTCTGAGCGAATAAATGCTCCATATTTCCAGAATCCCACCTCGTAGGGAGTGAACTCCAACCATTCTATAGTGAGAGCAACAAAAAAGGCTTTTACTGCAGTGCTAGACTGTGGGGGAAAGACACTCATATCAGATGACTAGAAAAAAAACAAGTGGAATATACCTTCCAGTATCAACTTCTTTGTGTATAATTATAGTTTTAAAACCATCAGATTTTGTTACTAGCTATATTTCTATTCAATACTGGTTGCAACACCGATGAGCCTAGAAAGCAAATTTTCCTCATACATCAGCAGGGGATGGTCCCTCCATGTACGGACTGAGGTCCATTAATACAGCAATTTGGGAGGGGAAGGAGCTTGGACTGAACAAAGCCATTAATACTCAGCTATAGTTGTTCATCTATATAGTTTTATATAGCTCAACTTACCATTGGAAAATCATGCTCTAAGAGTCTTCTAAGTGCCTATGCTCCAACAATGAACAGTACAGAACAAACAAAGGAACAGTCCAATTCTGATTTGGATGACATAATTAAATCTATACCCTCTGAAGACAAGCTCATACTTCTGGGACACTAGAATGCCAGAGTTGGAAAAAATAGTGAGGTTTGGAATGGTATAATAAAGAACAATGGAGTCAGAAAAATAAACAGCAATGGTGTGCTAAGCATGAGTTTGTTATTATCAACACAATCTTCAGGCAAGCCAACAGACATAAAACCTCTTGGATGCATCCAAGATCAAAGCACTGTCACCTGATTGATTATGCCATGATAAGGTAAAGAGGCGTCAGGGTCATCAAGATCACCAGAACAGTGCAAGGGACAAACTGTTGAACTGACCACGGGATGTTCATTTTTAATTTACATGCTGTTCAGCGAAACAATGCTGAACAAGATTAAATCAAAACTGAACCAAGCAAAGCTGAGACATCCATTTCATCATCGAAAACTTAGAGGAAAAATGTGATAGCATTACATCATCACCCAATAATCTACTCAAAAAGTGGAATATATTCAAATCAGCCATTCTTCGAGCCTCAGAAGAAACTCTAAGCAAAAATCAAAGATAGCACCAGGATTGGTTATATTAAACCAATGATGAAATCAAAAAGATCCTCAAGGAAAAGAAAAGATGTGTTTGTGTCTTGGCACATAGACAAAGAATCAACATCAAAGAAAGATACGTTCAAATATCTGCAAGCCAAGGATCAAAGACAGCTTTATGTTCTACAGGATAACTGGTGGGAAAAGAAAGCAGAAGAAATACAGCAATATGCCAGTACTAAGACCACAAAGTTATTTTAGAACCATTTATGGCCCACTGAAATCCAGACTAGCTCCTTTAAAGAGTTCAGATGGATCTACCTTAATCAAGGACAAGAGGCATCTCTGAAAAATAAGTGTAGAACTTCACTGAGCTACTCAACCATCCCACTATGGGCAACCAACAGGTGCTAGAGGAACCAACTCAGTACCCCATATATGAAGAAACTGACCAGCCATCTATCACCGAGGAAGTGAAAAAAGCGGTCGAACAAATGAAGTCAGGTAAATCACCAGGTTAAGACAGCATCCCAGCTGAAATCTTTGAACTTGCAGGCCCCAAAACTGTCAGCTATCTCTACAAAATCATTAAGAATATCTGGGAAGCCAAGGAAATTCCTCAGGACTTCAAAGATACAATCCTAGTTCATCTATACAACAATAAAGGCTACAAATCTGACTGTGGTAACTACCAGGATATCTCCATGCTATCTATTGATAGTAAAATCTTTGTTTGCATTTTTCTCAATCAGCTTGTGGAAACAGTATCACAGAAGTTTCTACCAGAGACCCAGTGTGAATTTGGAGCACCACAGGCCTGATATTTGTTTTGAGGCAGATTCAGGAAAAATGCACTGAGCAAAACATTGAACTGTATGCTGCCTTTGTTGATCTGAACAATTTGTCTTGACAAGATGAGTAGAAATGGCTACTGGAAAATTCTAGAGGGATAGGTCATGTTATCAGAATGGGCAATGACAGTCTCCCCAAAAAAAAAGCTCTCTGTGGTGAGCTGACACTTGGAAAATGCAGGAAGGGTGGTCAACAAAAACACTTCAAAGACATCCTTAGGCAGAAACTGACCTTATGCAGCATAAATTGTTACAACTTTGAAGACATAGCCAAGGAGAGACCTGAATGGAGAGCAACTATCAGTAAAGGTTGTAAATACTTTAAGGAAGACAGATGAAAAAATAATTTTTTTAAAAGGACCAAGCATCATACCAAGTCTTCAGTGGGAACTTGTGCATTCCTGTTTGAGATCTGTTCATGCTCCTCACAGATCTGAACTATACAGCCACATGACAACACACGTGATGCTGTGACATCATCATCAGATACAACAGACATACATTATAGTTGAGGTAAAAGTTATTTCCTTCAGGCCAACACTGATAAGAAGCCCAGTACTTCTATTTGCTTTCTCTCCTCTTGACTATTCATACTAAGCAAGCATAGTTAAATCAATGATAAATGAGATGTATATTTGATTGGCATTGCACCCAAAGGTGCAAAGGTTTATCTGAGGCGTCTTGGGACTTCCTGATTCTACAAAATGAGTCTAGAAATCTCTCTGTCAAAAGATTTCTGGTACTTTTTGTAGTGAGGATAAACTCTGAACTTGATATGTCCTGTGCTAGAAATGAACTTTCATTTCTGGTCCAAGTCAGAACTCAAAAGACTACAGGCACCAAATAAAAACATTTAACATTCTTTTTTAAAACTGTATCCACAGTTTTTTTAACTTTAAAAAAGGGTTAGTTTGGGGCTAGGGACAAAGGGTTATAATGTTAGTGGAACTGGTTTATCACACAAAATGAATGAAGATTTCTTAGAATATAAATCACATACTCTAAAATATCACCATTACCTCTAAAATCTTGAGCACTATAGTTGTTTTTGAGGTTGATAGCCGTGTAAATGGGCAGAGGATTCTGGCCCTCATTCATTGCCTGTCGCTGATCCGAGAGTTTATGGTTATCTTTCTGTTTTTGAAGAAAAATAATTAATAGGAAAAAATGGATGTGCATTTGAATTTTTATAATGTAACATCTGAACTTCAGCCAGGTTTTCTTTTATGTTCTCAACTCACTGGGCTGTGTACAAATGTTTGTCTAGGCTATTCCAAACTTGCCAAAAGTCCCAGTAACAGCAGCTATTCTTTGATGCTTACATGTTATTAAGAAATGTGGTCAGTTTGATTGTAAATTCAAACAAGCACAGATAGGGGAATTCATGGGAAGAGAAGGTGACTAGAGTGCAGCAGGGACTGGAGCTGTCTAAGTTATGATCATCTTAGTCAGGTTATGCTGCAATGTTCCAGATATAGAAGTGCTGAGGTATGCATTATACTGGATCTGATGCATTAAACTTCTTTGCTTGTAAAAAGAAATTATTAGGAAATAACCTATTTTAGTCGGTTTTCAAATACTGTTATTTCTAAACAAAAAAATTTCAACCTCGTTAATGGCACTCATCCTAAGATGACATTGCCTTACGTTTTTTAAACATTTTGGAGTTATTCCAGCACCAAATGATTTAATAAATCCATGCTTTACTTCCTTAGCTGTTCTAAAATTCTTTAGATATGCATATAAAACAGTAAGACCTGGCCAATATTTGGTGAATATATTTGATAAATTTCACCATTTTCCATCCCCCAAAAATGCATTTGTCAAATACTTTTTTTTTTTCAAACAGATTTAGCTAGCTGCATAGCTGATCTAATACCATTTGGCAAATACATTTCTCAATGAGTACAAGTGAAATCCATACAATAATACATTCAAGGAATATTCTTTTCTGCAATTCAACTAGCTCTAAAAACAACACTGAAAGCATAGAAATAAGACAGTATTACAAACACATACGAAACAAGTGGTCTGTGATGTAATTAGGATTTATGTCACCTTCTTGAAGCCAATTTTACAGTGTCAATTTAGTTTTTAACCAAAAATGAATGTTTGAGCATATGCAATGTCCAAATAGGCATTGGAATTACAAAATGAATCCCAGGGATTCAGATTTTTAAAAACAAAAAGTGGCAGCCAAAGGCTGGCATGTTGGAATTTCTTGGCTCGTTTAAGGTTCCATGGTACCCATAGGTCTGCGACATTTTTAAAGTGAGAACAGTCTTTGTATTTGAATATACAGTTGTATCTATTTGCAACAAAAGATCCTAACAAATTCTTTGCATCAATAACCCTACAGTGTTGTTGGATAGGTATCCCTTTCCGTGTTAATTTTCTGCTCATTCTTAGCGATAGAAGTTCACCAGGTTTCTGAAAAGAATGGTATATTCAATACCTCATCATGTAGCATGTATTCAACCATGAGCCCCCACAAGTCTATAAAAGATGTGTTGTGTCCTTGTTGGCGCCGCTCTTTCAGCTCATTGTAATAGTACTTCAGACGGTCCAAAGTAAAACCCTTAATCTTGCATTTGGTCACTTGCTTCCGAGCTTTATTGATTGCTTCCTCCAGATACTTGTGTGACCAATTAGCATCTTCGTACAAGTTTGCCATAGTCCTGAGGAAGGGAGATAGGATATTAAACAAGAAGGGTAGGCCTACACTGGAGATGGAGGTATAATTTCCAGCTTGGGCAGATATACTAGCACTAACTTTTATTGAGACAGCCTGCTAAAAATAGCAGTGTAGCTGAGCCTGCATGGCAGTGGGATGGGATAGCTGCCCTGAGTACACACCTGGGGTTTCAGATGGGATTGTTCTCATGTTGGCTAGCCCATCCCGCTGTCTGTGCAGCCATGGCTACGCTGGTCATTTTAACATGCTGAAGCTAGCGCGGGTATGTCTACCCAAACTGGAAATTACACCTCCAACTCCACTGTAGGAGGGAATGGTTAGTGTGCATGGCCAGGATGTAAAATCCCACCCCTTCATCTTCCTATCTCCAATCCTATCCCAAAGACAAGATCCTGTATGATGGATCTAGGGTATAATTGACATAATACAGACAGGTAATAGACATTTAAATAAATATACATTCTTAACAGTGATTTGAACTCTACTTCTGAGATCTAAGACACATACAGTATCCATTAGGTGGCACAGGCAGTTGGCCAGTGTGACTGCCCACCGCTTAGCTTATGGTATTTTTGTTCTCAGTGGATACAAGGGGAAATATGTGGGCTTATTTTTTATCTGTAAAGTGTCACGCAAACCAACAGTGTTATATAACTAATAAATAAATAATAGTGGCATGCAGAAAGATCAAATAAAATCATTGCTCATGTCTAGCTTACCATGTAGTGCCCGATAAACCAGTCATGTAAGAAACACTGTCCAAGATATTCAGTTTCTGAAGACCCAACAGGCTGCCATACATTGCTGTTAATGATCTTGTCCCACCCCCTGTTGTCGTGATTGCCACCACCGGCACCTGCTCAACACACAGAGGAGAAGACAGGTGAAAAACAACTGAATGTCAGAGATAAGAAATGATTTGTATGAAAGATGGAAATGGTAAAGGCATGGATAATACCAATATAAAATGATGTCAGTTTGTGAGCAATTACATGATTTATGTTAACTACTTCCATTCCTATCTCCTAACTGATGGGACAGTGAAGGCTCACATTCTGTTGCTTCAGATTTGTTTGTTTGTTTGTATTATACAATTGGAGACCAACTCACTATATTAGAATTCTCCTAACGTGCGTCATCTGGAAGTCAGCATAAAAATATAGGCATTGCCCTACTAGAACAGTTTTTTAGTCCATTATTCTGTCTCTGACACTGGTCAGGGCTTCAGAAAAATGCACAAACACCTTATAATAAGTGGAATTGTCATGGGGGCACTTCCTGACTCCAACCTGATCATTACTTGATGTCCTTCTTAATCTTACTAAGCCATTTACTTCCATAACATCCTGTGACAGTGAGTTGCATGGCTCATTATATGTTGTGTAGAAAGATATGTTCATCTGCCTGTTTAAATTTGTTACCTTTTAATTTCATCATGTGCCCTGCTGTTCTTTTGTCATGGAAAAGAGTAAATGAGTAGAGCTGGGTGGGAAGCAGTTTTCCTGTCCCCAAAAAATTTTTGAGAGGGCAAAATTTTTTGCAAATCAATACCCCACCCTCCCACCCAAAAATCAGATTGCATTAATGGAAAACATTTAATTTCAACAACGTTGGTTTTGTTTTGATTTTGACCTTTGCAAAAAAATCATTAATTTTTTTTCAGTGTAACTTGCCTAAAAGTTCAAAATGACTTTTCATTTTGAACTAAAAAATAAAGTCAGCCAAAGATCCCCATTACAACAGACATATTCCCACCCTGCCTCCATCATACAAACTACCTCCACTCAGCAATCGCAGACACTCCTCTAGTGTCTACTACAAACCTCCTGCCTGACAAGCATCCCCCCTTCCTTGATACAAATGAGCAGTGTACAAAAGGAAACTGTAACTCATGACATCAGGGGACTGTAGAGAGGCTGTAAAGACATACATCACCTGATCTGCTCTGCCCCACCTCGCTCACCATACTGCTACGGCAATTCCTATGCTCCCAGTCTCTCCGTCCAGAGATCTGGACCTGGCCTTGGGAGGTAACAGGAGGGAAAGGACTCCTGCCCTGCATGGTGCTGGGGGTGGCGGTGGGTGGCTGGGACCCAGTACCCTGGACATCCTCAAACTTTTGCCTGGGGATGTGTGGAAGGGAGGAGGCACTGGCAGGCTGTACAACTCCTAGACTTGTTTCTCCCGCCAGTGGTCAGCACCTGTCCAGGGAGTGTCATCTCTGTTCAAAGCTACCAATAAATGCAGCGTAATATATCTGATTAATCCTGGAGCCACTCATTGCACTCCTTGAAAGCAAATAACCCATTGCTTACTTCTAAGGCTTCCTGTCTACTCGGAAGATGTACTGCTCCTGTAAGAAAAATGCCACCAGCTGAGCGCAGCACTACCATTGGGAAGAGGAGGGAGGGGGACACCCATAATTCAGTCCCACATACTTCATGGTCCTGCAGGTCATCCTTTAGCTGGAGCACCTTCTTCACAGCAGCAGCAACATACTTCTTCCTTTTACACAGAAAGTCCTGCTCCTCTGTGCACAAGTCAAACCCAAAGCGCACGTCCATGTCTTTTGGCCTGAAACACAAACCACAGCAAATTTCCTCTTCTTTGATTCCCATCCATCAGCTCAGCAATGACAAAAAATGTATGCACATATACTATTACTTAGGACCTATATAGAACAGACAATCAATAAACTCCATCATCAGACTTACACGACAGGCTATTTCCACACCTGTATATAGACTGAGCAATGTAAGAAAGAGGGTGATATTTCTATTACCGGCACATGAGGAGCAACAATGTGGACAAAGGATAGGTCCCAGCATGCTTCAGGTTTCTTGCAAAAGGGGTCACAAAGGAAAGTATGACAATTTGGCAATTTTTCATTTGAAGGGTGATTTTTGAACTCTTAGTATTCCTTCTGTGTCAATCTATTTCTCATCAAACCACCATGAAAAATTCAAATAGCACTCCGAGTTTATAGTTTCATCTTTTGTTTTTTGCCCTTGCAATGAGGTTGTTTACAAAGAAAAGGTTTAGTGTTCCTGTTAAACTGAATTCTGCAACACAACTTTAATTGTGATACAGCTACCACTGCACCACCTGGTCAAATTCTGCCCTCAGCTAACTCATGAAACCCCATTGACTTGTGTGCAGCTGTACAGGTGTAGTTCTGTGTATAATCTGCTTCTATTAGAAAACAGCTGGATAACCCCACTTCTTACATTGGTAATGAACAAGTATGCTGGGCAAGGTCAATGTTCTGTTTTCATTTGTTTATATTTCATTAGCACCCAAAATGTGGTAGGTGTTGCCTAGACATATGCACGGAGAGCTTGCAATCTAAGGCACAGATCCTGCAAGACCTCCCCTCCCAAGTAGACCTTCATGGCCATTCGGGCTAATCTAAGTGTCTGTCCCTGCAAACACTTAAGCACATGGACAATTCCAATGAATTTCCTCACATGAGTAAAATTAAGCATGTGCTTAAGTGTTTGTAGAATTGGGACTTAGAAGACAAAAACACAAATGGTGATTCATATCTGTGTGTTTGCCTTCAAAAACTCCTGCAGGATAGAATGTCAGAATTTCCCAAGAGGCTTTGGTCACATTGCCCTCTGGTGGTTGCAAACTACACAGGATATTAGCTGAAATGATAGTTCATGAGCATGGATGTTTCATGGGTGACTACTGTCATTTTCCATTCCCAGCCACTTTTGCAAAGCACACATCATTCACTTACCAAGTATAATCTTTAAAAATAAAGTCATTTTAATGATTTTCTGAATGTAAAAATGTGTCTGTTTCAGAATGGTAGGGAAAAAAACCCTCACCCCAAAAAAAGTCCCAAACAGCTGTATCTATTTTCTTCAGACTTTCTAATAAAGTTCACTTCTGGATTGAGATTAAGCACACAGCTCTTCCTCCTTTCTAGAAAGTGGAAGGGTATCGTTCATGTGGTCCTTTTTCTTTGTAAACTACAATACTGTCAAGATCTGAAAAACTTTTTCAAGGCTGCAGGGACATATGCTTTACTATGTCTTCTCTGATCAAGTCTGACTAAATAATATTCTATGAGATATTGCATTTATAGCCAGACAGGAAAAACTTTTCCCATCCTGCAAAAAAATTCAAGATTTTGAAAAAAAAATTACCCATCTTGAATCAGGATGAAAAGTCAGAATCTCAAAAAATTTCACAAAACAAAATCTGAAAAAATTTCAGTTGAAGAATTTTGTTTTGATAATTCTGAAACATTTTGTTTAGATTTTTGACCTTTAAAAAACATTTTTAACAGTACTATAATTAACTTGAATTTTTAAACAAAAAGACATTTCACCCTGGAAAACTGGAATTTTTCATTAAGAAAATGTTGAAATGAAACATTTCAATAATTTCAAACCATTTTTTAAAAAAAAATCAAGTCAAGAAGTTTGCTGAAACTGAAACTTTTCATGAGAAAGGGTCCATGTCAATGAATTGACATTTTCCAGTGAAATAAGGTTTCATCAAAAATTCCCAACCAGCTCTAATTACAATATTACATGTAATATTAGTTTTACCTTGCAAGATTATTGGTTCATCTGAGGAGAAGGGAAGCATCAGTCAGTGTGTGTTTAAATTTCAGATTGCAGGCTAACCTCTGCTTTATGAGCCCCATGAAAATAATGACCATACTGAGCCAGGCTTGCTTATGCAGAGGGAATCTTTGTTTAGCTAGCCACAGAAAGATTTCTCCAAGACAAGAGGATTCTCCAGTGGTGTTGAGCCATCCTGGCAGTGCCTAAGCCACTCTCTCCCCTTGTCTAGAGCAAAGGGCATGGAAAGGGGAAATGGGGGATCGCCAAAAACGCCTTGCATCCCAGTGATTCCCAGCAGCCACAAGCTCCTTCAGGCCATTGGCACCTGGGGTCTGACCTAGCTTAGAGCAGCACCAGCATTGGGAGACCACATAGGTCACCTTTCCACCCTGCCCACACCCACAACTTGTGCTGGAAGACCTTCACCTGGACTCCAGAATCTGGCCAATTGTGTGTTATAATACACATAACATGTGCTCTTTTATGTTTGGTTGGTTTTTAAAGTGCAATTATTCTCCGATAAGCAACTGCAGAAATGGCAACCTGGGATTCCATGTTTACTATTTCAGTGATTCCATATCAAACATGCTAAGTTTACAAGTAAAAAGTTTTTTCTCTGACTTCTGGCCCTACAAATTCCACCTGAAAGTCAAGCTGTGTTCTTTTTTTCTTGTGCATCAGACCCAGTAATAAAGGTTCTGTCAGTCAAATTGAGCCTCAGTTACATATGTGCAACCTCATTATCTTCACATTATGCTTTCAGTGACGCCTGTGCAGATACAACTGGTTGAATCTCAGTTAACATTTCCTTTGATGATGCATGAGAAGCAATGGAACCCATCTCGCTTGTGGTCGACAAAACTTTTGTCTTTCAGGGCTGTGTGTTTTTTTAACACCTCTGAAGGACAAAAGTTTTGTCTTTCATTTGCCAGCGTAGACAATGCCTAAGAACCAAGATAAGAAATCTTACCAGTCTTTTGCCTTCACATGCAAGTCAAATGTTTTGTCCTGGAAATTAAGAAAGTAGATAAATTACCATCATATTTTTAAACCTTCCTTTCTCTTAGTCTTAGAGTGAGTTTTGCCTGCTCTCCAATTAGCGATATCTGAAATGTCTAATTATAGTATATACTCAAATAACTGCAAATGTATTTGCAGATAATGGAAAAATGCAAATGTACAATGGATAAAGTAATAAGTGGAACAGTCTCATGTTCTATTTGGAGGTTTATTGTGGCAGGATGTTAGTAATAGAATGCAATATTAATTGTTAGTTTAACAAAATACCATGTGTTAGATAGAATATAGTGGGAGAAGTATTATCAATAAATTGTGATCGTCTTCAATATAATGAAGAAAATCAACACCGAAGGCCTGATTGTAATTAAACAATGTACACTGAAATTTCATTTTATCACCAACAATAAAAGGCATTACCCCCATTTTTTATAAATGCATTCTGGTATGTGTGTGACAGAGGGATTTGTAGTCTTATAGATCATTTTAGTATAAAATCTTAAGGCTGCAGGTTTCAAATGGTTATCAGGACAAAAAAAATTATTGTTGTTATTTGGTCACTTTAATAAGTATGATGATTTTTGAGCAATTTTTATAAACCTACATAATCAGCTACACTTTGCACAACAATTATGATGTTAATAACTTTCTCGCATTAGTAAAAACTTAAACATAGTTAAAATATTTATTCCAAAAGGTTTGCAGCACTCACCGTTGCTATGGTTATTTTCTTTTGCAAAGGGAGTGAATTTAGAGGCAGAGGCAGGGATTCTTCTTTATCTGAGGTCTGCTGAATTAAAAGAAAAGTGGAAACGATGGTGATTTCTCACAAGGAGAAAAGGGCTCACCCTCCCCAAAACACATGAATTAGATTGATGTTGCTGTTTACATTCTACTCCAAACGATATTTTCATTAAGGCTAATGATAACATACAACACAGTCATGCATCTTCTTTGGCAGTGTAACATCCAGTTTTGTTTGGTTATTCTTGACACAGTGAAACACAATGGCATCTCTACTCCTGAGGCTGGAGTCAGCATCCAATGAAATCTTCTGGGTTTCTTCATAGGATCCTTGGACTGTAAGTGTGAGCTCTTCCTCTAAAGACAAAAGAGAGTGAACAAGGAGAACCTTAACAGTAGTTGCCCAGAAATAAACTTTGCATGATTTATACACTGCATTCACTGAGGAGTTCTTTGCATTGTCCTCATAATAGTGGTTGCTTAGTAAATCTAGAGACTGCCCCAAAAAGATACTAAAAATCCCATCTATCTAAAATCCCATAACAAATATTCAGGTAAATGAGGATTCAAATAATTCAGTGAGTCACTGAGTAAGTGCTTTAATTGGAGGACTCTAACCAAGATTTAGATTAGAAGGAATTTCAGATTAAAGGGTTTTTTTTGGATAAATACGATTCAAACTAGATATGGGAGCCACTTATTCACTGCCATTCTATTCTGATATGCATTGTACTTTATGTCATACTCCTTATAAAAGCCAAAGGTGCTACTTGCAATTCAAATAGACTGATTTATCAGTGTCTTTCTGTGATAACTGCTCAGTAGCAATGGTGGGGGACATGGATCAGCATTCATGTCGCACTCCCTGTCAGTAGCCGGTCCGGCCCAGGGAAGCTAATGATCCAACCAGTGGACCAAATTCAGTGATGAATCCTGGTCACATGCCACCTGAGGCACATTGCGCATACACTAACAAGCGGCAGCAATGGTGTTAGCAAAAAACGATCCTTCCATTCCATTCATATTTCTTGGAGATGGGATGGGGGGAAAATTCCACTCCTTCCTCCCCTGACAGGGGCCTGGTTCTGGGTCCCCATTCTCACAGAGACACTAGGTCTCCTCAGCCAGAAAGTACCCTGTCTCTAATCCACACAGCACATGAGCCAAGCCAGTACTGCCAGGGGTCAAGTTCTCTGCAGACTCCCCTACACTCCGCAGTACAGAAACAGACTTCCCACACACCGGATCGCAACACCTTTTGGCCTGTCTGCCCCTCAATCTGCATCGAGGAGTGGGCAGGTGAAATTTAAGCAGCATTACAACCCCATGTGACAGGTCACAACATCACTCACTGAAATTTGGCCTGGCCACCCCTCTATCTGTACCCCAAATTTCATGGTGCCCTAGGCAGCTCCGTGCTGCATACGCAGTAGCACCAGCCCTGGCGACCAGCACTATTCCTCAGCTGCCTCCCCCTCCCCACAAGGGGGGTGTGGGGCCCCGGACAACTCCCTCCACCCTGCCTCTTACCCTTCCCCCCTGCTCCGCCCCTGCCCTGCACCCATTCCACCTCTTCCCCCAGTGACCCCACACTCACCGGCAGCGGCGGGAAGCGGAGCAACCCGGCCCCAGCCCACTCTACTCCGCCAGCTCCCAGCCACAGCGCTCCACCTCCCGCCGCCAGTGAGTGCGGGGAAAGGATCGGCCCCCACACTCACCGGCGGCAGGAAGCGGAGCGCCGCGGCTGAGAGCTGGCAAAATAGAGCAGGCTGTGGCCAGGCTGCTCCGCTTCCCACCGCTGCGGGTGAGTGGGGGGATCCCTTCCCCCAAGCCCCCTCCCCTGAGCGACATGGCTGGGGCTGGGGCGAGGGGAGAGAAGGGAAGCAGAGCGGGCTTCTCCAAGCCCCCTGCTAATCCCCCGGGCCACTCTGGACCTCTGGGGCCCCCAAAAGTGCCCCCCACAGCTCCTGCCTCCCAGGCCCTGGGGGGGCCTGGAGCCCTACACAGCCCCCCCTGCGGTGGGGCTGCATAGGGCACCCAAATGGCTAGGGACGGCCCTGAGCAGGACCATCCCTGACAGGTGTGTGTCCAATCTTTTCTTAATAACCTCCAATGATAGGGATTCCACAACCTCCCTTGGAAGCCTAGTCCAGTGCTTAACTACCCTTACAGTTGGCAAGTGGCTCCTAATATCTAATCTAAATCTCCAAAAGTGCAGATTAAGCGCATTACTTCTTATCCTACTGTCAGTGAGCAGGGAGAACAACTGAACACAGTCCTCTTTATAACAGCCCTTAATAATGGATTACTCATTTTCTAACTTCAATTATAACTACTGAATCATAACATATAAACAGCCAGTTCATGAAGCAATAACCTCACTTGTGGATTGTTGCTTTAGCTTCTTTGCCTGCCCATTAACTTCCAAACAGGAAACTTCACGTGACTGTAACAGAGATGACCAAATAAATGACAAAGAGTGACACAGGTGGGATTCTAAGTGAGTCACATTGTTCTCCATCAACTCTTCTGGTTGATTAAGCAGTGACAACAAAGGGAATCATATCTAGTCCTTAGATGGGGGGATGGTGACTGTGACATATTGTTTCCATGTTGGGAAGTATAAAGGAGGAGAAAATAGGAGCATCTTACAAGTATGAACAAAAAAGTAATGTACTCTTCAAGGGAGGGGGAATAATGGAATGGAAAGCTATTCAGATAACAGGTTCTTTTTAGAGAGAATAGCTTGAGGGAAGCTGCTTGTGTGTGTTTTATCACTTTTAATAATTAAGCACTAACCACTTTAGGGAACAGCATAGGAGTGGTGGCTGGGGAAATTCTCACACTTCCATTAGGAGGTGGGAAACACTGGGTGCTCACAGCTGTACCACTTTCAGTCTTTGGCAGAAGGTGACACTCTGCTAGAGTAGCAGAGAGTTCACAGCTATCCCAGTTCCAGACTGTCTCTCCATAGGAGTGTGTGGTTCAAGCACTGGACAGCACGTTTTCCTAGTGCTGGCAGTAATACCAGTACTTGTTGTGTGGGACAGGAAAGATCTCAGGAAATAAAAAGATTACCACTAGTATTCCATTAGTAATGATGTTTTCAGGACAGTCCAGACTAAAAAACAAAATTAAAAATACAAATGTCAAGCTTAGAATTATTTAAATGACTCTACGTATATCAGCCACAGACTTTTCCCCTCCACTTTTATATTGCTCACTTAAAAAAAAAAAAAAATTAACTCATAGATGTCCCAGAAGCGGGCCTGGTACTAGAAGCCAGTTCTAGCATATGGGTATTGTGCAAGTTTGCATGCACTTCTTTAACAGTGAAAAATAGAAGTTAACCTTTAAAGCCCCTGATATTCCAGCCCTGGAACTGTGCCAAGGCGAAGCTGTGCACTGTGTCAAAGCATGCAGCAATTTCTTATATACTCCATACCTAAACTGTGAAGAGGTTGAGATCATTAAATCTGTCTGAATGGTTCAAATCCAGGCCTTCATAAATGAAAACCGGATGCATTCATCTAAGATTCCATACCAGCACAATGAGGGGAGAATTTTCTACACTCATTTTAAAGGTGAACTGCAAAATGGAAATGAAACTCAAAATAATACCAGATTTTTGTGTGGGTGTGTGTGGGTGTGTATAAAAATTTCCCCCTCTCTGATAAATCAGGCAATTCCTGATCTATTCAAGACATCATATAGTGCATCATTCTTTGATATGACAGTTGCAAACTCCCATTACAGCCCATGTAACTCATGTTATTAGTGAGGTATGGAACATAATCATAATAATTTAGAGTCAGATCCTCAAGTTCATGTACATTGTTGCTCCATTGACTTAAATGACTTCTACCAGTTGCGAATCTGGCCCTTAAGTATTAAATATGTAAATATGCTACCCAATACTCTTTCCTTTATCAGGCTAGCTGTTATATGGAGCTATATAGGGAACATGAGCATATAAAACCAGAGATGGATGGTACGTTATTCTGGAGGGTGTGTGGAGATGCCGCAACCTGTGCCCTACACATTCGCAGTTACGCAAAGCTGATTCCAGGAAATGGACACCAAAGCTCCTGATATTTGGTTTCTGTGTTAGTAGTTAAAGTTGTAGTTAGAGAGATACTGTCATTACAGTTCTTGTTTCAGGCAGGGGTAGGCAATTATGTTGTGTTTAACAAATACAAGATAAAATGGATTGCTAGATAGATAAATATGTACTTTTTGAACTTTTTCACAGGAAGACCTGGCCTCCCTGTTTTTCAATAGCTGCCACACTGAGCTCAGTGGCCTCTTGATTCGTGAGCCTGCTGTGGACCTGATTCTGTTCTCAGAGACACTAGTATAAATCTGGAATACATGTACTGGAGACGATGAAGTTACAATGGTGTAAAACCTGGGTGAGCTCAGGATCAGGCTATAAGTCTGGGTTTTCATGTCACCTGCCTCTCATCTCCTGAAAATTCCACTGTCCTGTGAACATGGTAAAGAATCACAGGAAGTGTCACTTCTAACACTTTATTGGAATAAAGAAACAATTATGAGCCCCTAAGCTACTTTGTCTGTCCCTCTCCTTCACTTTCAAGCTTCTGTCAAGAACCTTCCCCAGTCCCACCATCATGCCTGACTTCCTGCTTCAGATGTAAAGAAACAATATACATAAAGCTTCAGAAGCCACCATCCCCTGTGCCTGTTGCTCTGATTTCCTTCTGCTGGACCCAAAACAGCTAACTAATATAATCAGCTGCTCTTAGCACAGTAGGGGAAACGTCTAGAAATAATATAGCAGAGTTAAAGCAACTAAGGACCATTTATTTACTAAAAATTGCAAAAAACATGCTTTCACCTTTTGTGATTATTATCTTTTAACATTCACATTTTACACAACTTTTTGTACATCTATTTACATTTATTTCTTCTATTTTACATGTTTTTTAAAAATATTTTCCTTCACATTTCCAAACAAGGCAGGGAGTGTGTGTGACATGAAAGCCTTTGGGAGGGGGGCTGAAGGGCCTTCTGCTGCAGTTCCTAGAAGACTGAAGCACCTCCTCAAGTTGGGACATCTGAAAGACAGACAGAAGGAAGAAAGAATGTCAAGAGTCAACAACCCATTGGGCTCTCTAGGTCCCCGTAACCTCTTTATACACTGACAGTACCTTTTGGTTTGCCAGGATCTGCCACAAGTCCTTGCCTGCCCCTTGGTATCAGGGCCTAGGCTATATTAGATCACGGAGAAAGGGAATATTGGCCAAGCCAAGCCACCCAGCTAGCCTGGATCCTATCCCTTCAGCACTTCTCACAGGGTCGCCCCGTTTCTGGATCCTACCAGTGGAAACATGAAAGAGAAAGGAAACATGAGTACTGATTAAACACAAAGTTTAATACACAACAAAAATCAACACAAAAGGCACAAAACAACCACCTAAATAAAAATAACTTACCTCCTCAGTCATTGCTACCCAGGGGCAAGCAGTTGTCACCCACACACAGGCCTGGGTTATGGGCCCACAGGCAGTGGGCAATGTGTCTGCCATGGCTTGGCTCAGCTGTTGGTGCAAAGGCAGTCTGCAGGTAGGTGCATGCGCAGCTACTTGGGCTGGTCAGAACCAAAGTATCTGGTTCTTGGACCATACTATTGATATTGATACTAAGAAGTGGGGCTCTCTAGTGACAGGTATACACCTGTCAGACTGCAGGTAGTGATGTAAGGAGTGGAGGCAGAAGGCTAGAGAAGGTTTTCATCACAGTCACAGAAACCAAACCACCAAAATATTTTCTTCCCTTTAAATCAAAGTGAATTGGAATGAATGCATAAAATTAATTTCATGCTGCCGTCTGGTGATGAAATAGTATGGAAAATTCAACAAACATTTTTAGAAGTCAAAAGGCACAACTTTTCCACTGAGGTCACACTGCAGGCCAGAGTCACGAAATCAACCAATGAAAATGTTAAAGGATCACTGTGCTGTGCTGCAACCACCTTCCTGGGCCTGTGATTACACTTTCTAAATAAAATGATTATTTTAAGATCTTGGTAAGAAAGTAACAGACCCATACAAATAAGCTTTTCTTAATAGCAATCAACAAGACCTTGATTTAAGCTGGGGAGACAACAGGCAATAACCACATCAGGCGAAATTTCTTTACATGAATGATGATTAAGGCTACGATTATGTCATGGAATCCGTGACTTTCATTGAGTTCCATGACATGTTCTGCCCTGGGGCTGGAGCTCCCAGCCAGCCCTGCCCCCACAACTCCCAGCCCCTGCCCTGGTGGGGGGACCTTGCAGTTGCCCAGCCAAGGCAGGCAGCAAGGGGCTGGCGGACCTTGCAGCTGCCCAGCCGCCGCAGGGGGGCGATGACTCCCCGCTGCTGCGACAGATGACGGGGGGACTCCCCGCAGCTGCTGAGCCACGGCAGCCGGCCAAGAAACCCCGCAACTGTCCAGCAGCGGTAGTTGGGGGGGGGGGGACTCCCTGCAGCTGCCCAGATGCAGCGGGCCATGGGAGGACCCCCTGCAGCTGTGCAGTCATAGCCAGCAGCTGGGGGACCCCCAGCTGCCACGGGGGCGAGGGGACCCTGCAGCAGCCCAGCCCCGCGGGCAGGGGGACCCCAGAGCTCCCATGCACCACAGCAGTGGAGCACCCGGGAGCCCTAGCAGCAGTGGGTGCTGAACCCGCCTACCTCTTTTGTCAGGGATATTTTTAGTGAAAGTCAGGGACAGGTCACGGGCTTCTGTGAATTTTTATTTATTGCCCATGACCTGTCCCTGACTTTCACTAAAAATATCCGGGACAAAAACTTAATCTTGATGATGATTACATTACATGACAAGCTACCATACTCAGCTATGGAAATAAGTTGTGTACATCGTTCCACTCAAGAATCCATAAGAATTTGGAAAAAAGAATTCTGGTGGGTCTGGATATTCCTTAGGCGGCAGCAGGCACATGGAACACATTCCCCATTGCCAATTTATTACTTTCCAAATTGTTTTTCTTCTACCAGTTAGAGAGTCTATAACATTCAAGGTTTTACTCACAGGTTCTGCAGTATGAACTCCACCTCCAGCTCCTCCTGTTCCTGAAAATCAAAAAGAAGTGAATGAAGTCAATATGCAATATCCCTTCCACATAAGGGTAACTTTGTTGATTGTATGAACCTGGAACCACAGGTGTACAAGGAGACTGTATTGGCAGGAAAAAATTAGCAAAGGTTACTTTGAAAAAGCTCCCTGCACTTCAGTGGAGATGGACATCACTGAATGAGGAAGAGACATTCTTAACTCTCCTAGCTAACATATCTAGCACCTTACCACAAATGCCATCATTGTTACCTGGAAATAAGACATTGGGCAGATCTGTTTCCTGCCAACACCCACCATCCTAGCTATATTCGTCTTCTTCTATGATTCCCATCCATCAGCTAAACAGCAATGATTGGGCCAAATGAAGTCTTTCCACCACTTTCTGTCTTGTACCAGCTTCATGGCTTTCTTCATCTTTAAACCTTATTGTTCAATGTCTATCCAACACATCACCTTCTAGTCTAGTTCTTGCACTCTGGTATGTATCACCATGTATGGTATCCTTTCCAAGTCCATTCTTGACACATGGTCAAACCATCGCAGTCATCTTTCTTGAATTTTCTGTAATAGCATTATTTTTTGCCCTTGGTGTTTTCTTATCACTCCATTTTTTATTTTCTGTGGTCTTGAAATTCTTGGTATGTCCTTCAGCTCCAGTCAGTTCATATCTGCTGTCAATGTCTTTCCTCATACTCCAGTGTTCTGACCCATGCAGCAGTAATGGCACAATTGCCTCATATATGCTGATTTTCATTTTTATGGAAATGTGTTTAGCTCTCCAGATCTTAGAGTTTTCAAAATGCAGTAGCAGTCAGTCTGATGCTGCTTCTTATGTCATCTTCACAATTCCCATTCTTGGATATTAGTCTTCCAATGTACACACATTTTTTCAATTGTTCTAGTTCTTTGTCTCTGACTGATCTTTTCCTCGTCTCCCAGTTGCCATAACATTTATCTTCTCCGTGCTGCTCTTCAGTCCAAATTTTCTGCTTTCCTGATCTATCTTGTCAGTTATTCCCTGTAAATCCTCCTTGATCAATGCTTTGAGGTCAATATCATCTGAGATTCTAAGATTATTCACTGTCCTCCGATATAACATGACTTCTCCCATTTCGTCTCTCAGTCCTACAGCCATTGTTGCTTCCAGTATCAAGCTGAACAAATCTGGTGATAGCATGAATCCTTGTCTTATTCTTATAGCCATCTTGAATCATTCTATCAGATTCTTGTCTACTTTCACTGCACTCATCTACATACTGTAGACCAGGGGTAATCAATAGGAGGAACACAGGCCAAATCTGGACTGCTAGACACTTTTGAATGGGCCCCAAAATCTTTTTATTTACTTATTATCTTTTTTAATTATTATTTTCTCTGGAGTCTGGACCTTGACTATATCTTGACCAAGAAATTTGGACCTTGCCAAAAAATAATAGACTACTCCCACTGTAGACATTTTCTATCACCTTGATCAACTTTTCAGGGATGCCAGACATTCCCAAGACTTGCCATAACCCTTTCTGACACATGCAAGTTTGAAGTTTATGAAGTTGTTGTAACAGGTTTGGTTCCCAGAGAATGTTCTATTTCTCCAATGCCTGTCTTATTACAAAGAGCTGATTTATTGTACTTTGTCCCAGTCTAAATCCGGCCTATTCACCTGCAAGCATCAATTCCACATAGCTCTTCATTCTCTTCTGCAAATCTTGGTGAATGCTTTTCCCAGCACAGTCTTGTTTGTGAATCTTGTTAAATAGCTGGTGCATCATCTTTACTGTTTCAGAGTAGCAGCCGTGTTAGTCTGTATCCGCAAAAAGAAGAACAGGAGTACTTGTGGCACCTTAGAGACTAACAAATTTATTAGAGCATAAGCTTTCGTGGACTACAGCCCACTTCTTCGGATGCATATAGAATGGGCCATCTTTACTGTGTGTTCCTCACCTACTTGCAGCAGCTCTGCAATTATTTTGTCACTTCCTGGCACCTTTTTGTTTTCAGCTTTCTATCAAAATCTTTTCTACTTCTTCTAAGAATTCTGGCATCTGCTCTCCCTCATTAGTGCCGGGAAGCTTCCCCAGCACCATTTCATCACCTGCGTTCAGCACGTTGTACAGCTCTTCAACGTAGTCTTTTCCCAGCTATATATACTTTGTAAATTATCAGTTAGGAAAATTCTTTGAAATACTGGGCCCAACTTCCAAAACAGAGCACCTAATCTGTATGCTGAAATCATGCCCCGGATTGTGTGAATCAACATTTAGGTGCCTTGGTGCCAAAGTGAGTATCCAGAGGTGGGATTTGGCTATTCTACTTAGGCTGCTCGTGTTTGAACATTGAACTACCTCGGTAAAAATGATCAGCTGTTTTTATACTAGTTCAATCCAAACTGATTGGAAAGTCAGAGCTACTAACTCATGGGAAACAAGTTATGACAGAGTAATTCTGAATAGTGCTATCAGGTGCTCAAACTCTCTGGAAAGTGCAACCTTTGCAAGTCAGTGGAGAGATTTGTTCCCAGAAAAAAAAAAACCTGACCAACCGTATCAAACCACAGTCAACTTCCACTGGTCAAGAATGTTGAAATTCTGGCCAAACTCTTCATTATAATAATGGCAGAATAAATTTTCAAGCAGATTTTTCCTGTAACAATCTAAGAAAGATTGATAGACGGATGGGGGCAATCCAATCCACAGGAAGGACCAATAAAATACAGTACAAGAAAATATTTAGACGGAAAACCCACAAAAGTGTCTCTTTCTTATGATTTCATTGCTCACCTGAGGATTCAACACGAACTTCACACGACCTTTATACCCAACGTGAAGTTTAGCTACGTCAAAAATAACTGTGCAGAGTTCATCATCTTTGCTGAATCTATCTTCATCACAGACTTTCAGCTCCAGCACGTTCTGGGAACAGAAGTAAAGGATTTTATAAATTATATAATTTCAAAGAACCCTGTTAGTAGGAAATCCTTGAGGCTATTCCTTGTTTAGTCTATGCACATAGGGCAAGTAGTAAAAGAAGGAATGGGAGAAGTGAGAGAGTAAGACAGAATGGGTGAGGACATATTACACTTATTCTGCTTTAAAGAAATAAACTGAGTAAGGGTGGGGGGGTTCCATTCAGGCCATATGTATATGCATATGTATCTCTCTCTAGAGTCTGATCCTGGGCCTATGTAACTATAGGGTTCTGAATGAGAATAAAACATCGAAAAATGACCTAAAATAGTATTTCCATGCTTTAAAATGTCTCTGTTTTTAAGTCTATTATCTTGGTACCTTGTAGGACTAGAAGTAAGTTATGGGCCCCAGTAAGAAACTTAGAAACTTTCCCTTCCAATGGTATAGGATGTTCATATTTAATCCTGCAGAATTCGAAGATATAGGACTTTACATATTCATAACCATGTTATGGCTAGGAAAGCAGTCACTGGCCCAGGATTGAATTTTGCCTGTCCTAGACCTCAGATGGGGGTAATTTTCTGGGGAAGAAGGAAGAAGCATTTTTTAGATAGGTTGATTGGAAAATAAAATGCCTGCCCCTTGAAGCTGTCCAGGACTTGGGAATGTTAGAATAAGTTATTGGGGAGATGAATTAATGGGCAGAGGACAGGCGAGATATGCACACATCCGTTAAGGGTCCTTCAAAGAGTTCCAGTAAATGAGTGGGTATTAATTGCAGGATGAAGTCTAAAGAAATTCTGGCTCAGTTTAGATCTGCAGGACCTATTTGGGGAACTCAGATCCCTGACAGGAGTGGGGAGCTCTCGTGTATCATACCTTAACACGCCTGTCAATCCTGTAACAGAAGGTTTCATTCCAGACTGGATTTTTACAGTTTTTGATTGTTTTGGTCCGGACCCTTTGAGTTGAGGCAGTTGGCAGCCACAGTTCCACATAGCAATCGGACTGGCTTACTGTATAAAAGGAGATAAATTATAAGTAACAGTCTACCTGATGTGCAGTATCACTGAAGGAATTAGTGCATCAGACTCATTTAAAACTTAGTTGACATGAAAAGAGAGAGTACAGTAGTTGATTTCTTCCCAAGTCTTTCTGAGACATGCATCCCAGAAAGAGGAATAGATAGTACAATAAAGCAGTATATCCCAAAAAAGGAGAAACATCCTTGTGAAGGTATAAGGGATACCATTCCTCTGGGGTCAGCAGCCTGCAACTGGCTGGCTGATTAGGCCCACCTACTGCACCTGAAAAAAAACTGAAACTTAATTAGCTGACCTTTATAAAGAGGACAGCAAGAAATAGAGGGGGACTGCAACACCCTCCAGAAAACTGAGGGACCAGGGCCATCTCCCAATGGACTGCTACTCGAGATATGCACTACAGAGAGGAATTGCTCCAGAAATCAAACGGACAGAAGGGAGCGTGTGGAGTCCTTCATTGCTGAGGCTCTGAGGTAATAGCCAGGAAATATTGATTACTGAAGTTGCTGGCATGAGGGGGAGAATTGAGGGAGGGACTACTCGGCCTGCACAGACATTTGAGGGAAGTCTACAAGGTTTTGATTTGTTTGTTAAGAAGGCTTAAATAAAACAGCTAACCCTGCTGGAAACTGCTTCTCTACATTCCTTCAGAGAGCTCAGACAGAATTAACCCAGGGAGTGAGCTGACTCAACAAGAGCAAAGCCTGGTCTGGTAGGAGGCAAGTTGCTATAAGATAGGTCCCCCAACCATTTTACAATCCACAAAACACACCTCTCAGGCCTTTTCCAGCTTCTATACATCTAACTAGCTTTTTTCTTAAAACATTTATATCAGAAAAATAATTATGTGCAAACACACCTCTACATACACATGCATTCATATTTACATAAACCACTAAGCTGTGTGTGTGGTAAAGTTGCTTTGTACATAACATACCCTTCTTTGTCCTTTACAAGATGCTAAGACTTTAGATTATTCCACCCGCATGACGTGCCTTTAAAACCTGAGAATGAGGCGTGCCTGACAGTAATGTTTGACAGAGTTACATTACTAATGAGGCAAGAGGATAAGGCGATATCTTTTATTGGACTAACTGTAAGCTCGAAAGCTTGTCTCTTTTGCCCACACTGAGCTCTTCTTTCAGGTCTGGGAAATGTACACAGCTAAATACAAGATGAAACAGATTGTTTAGCATAAGTAGTTAACACATATTTCAAGGGACCATTCAAGGTGAAGTGGATAATTAACACCTCTGCGGTCATAGTGGGTTATAGATCATTGCAACAGAGACACTGGATTTATGGCTTACTAAGTCCATGACTTTTTAGTGTCTAGTGGTTGTTTTAACTATTTATGCTAAACAATCTGTTCCATCTTGTATTTAGCTGCGACATTCTCAGTACATTTTCCAGACCTGAAAAACAGCTCTGTGTAATTTTGAAAACTTGTCTCTCTTACCAACAGAAGTTGGTCCAATAAAACAGTGGTTCTCAACCAGGGGTCCAGGGCCACCTGGGGGTCACGAACAGGTTTCAGGGGAGCTGCCAAGCAGGGCCAGCATTAGACTCGCTGGGGCCCAGGGCAGAAAGCCGAAGCCTTGCCACATGGGGCTGAAGCCCAGGTCCCTGAGCCCTGCCACTCGGGGCTGAAGCCAAAGCCTGAGCAACTTAGCTTCACCGTGGCCCCTGTGGCTTGGGGCCCCAGGCAATTGCCCTGCTTGCTATCCCCTAATGCTGGCCCTGGCTTTTATATGCAGAAAATCAGTTGTGGCACAGCTGGGCCGTGGAATTTTTATAGCATGTTGGGGGGGCCTCAGAAAGAAAAAGGTTCAGAACCCCTGCAATAAAAGATAAGACCTCACCCACTTTGTCTCTCTAACATGCTGGGCCCAACACAGCTACAACAACCCTGCAAACTACTTTACCAGTGTCATACTGTGGGCCAAGTAGGAGCAGGAAGCACAGTCACATGTGATTGCAGCAGAGGTTAGCAATAATCAGGAAGTGACCCAGCTAGTCAGCCCTACTTCTGGGTGTATTAATTACCCACAGAATTAACTCTGAGTGCCTTCTAGCACATGCCAAATCCAAAAACATTCTTCCCAAACCATGATTATTTATACTTGTTTATAATCTTAATTATAACACATACTAATATATCAACAAGGCTGAATATAAATGTTAATGGGAGAACATGGTAAACTACCTGAACCTCCTAACCTACCAACAAGATTATTCTGAGTCATATTCAGCAGGCTCTCTAACAATGTATTACCTTTTTTTTCCTATCTTTGATTTGGGGCTCTCTCTTTTTCTTCCCTTAGTCTTTATATCTGGCATTTTTATTTTCTTTTTTATTTTACCTCTTTCTTTCTCTACTTTTCCACATTCTGTAGCTCAGGATTCTCTGAAGAACCTGATGCACCACTCAGAAATTCAGGAACAAAGTGACCACACAGATCATTCTCTTTTGCATCGTCACATTTACAACGGCATTTCAATATGTCTCATTGCAGCCTGGGACTTGGGCCATGCAAAACCTGGTCTGGTGGAAAAGAAGCTCACTCCTCCTGACTTGAGCATCAGCCATCTGCAAGCTCTTCTGTGAGCTGGACCTTTTTAAACTCAGAGGGGGACCCAAATTCTTTCCTGGGAGAGTCAAATTAGTATCCACTCAGTGAGCTAACTTTACTTTCCACTTACTACAAGTTCCCTGCTTTTTAAGGCTATCAGTCTTAAATTTGCATCTAAATCCATCACTGATCTATGATCACAATCTTCAGTAAGCTACTTCTCACTAAAATGTATTGGTGAAGAAGATGGAACTTCATTCCCAATTCCAGCACTTCCATGATCAGACATCGGTAGAGCTCTCTTACCACTTCTATTGTGAAGGTCTCCTCTATCTTGGGCTCTTTTTTGCTATTATCTCTAGTGCTGTGATCAGATAGTGACAGTTCTTTAATTACCTCTGTTGTGGACATCTCCCCTTCCCTGATTCTTCTTCGTTATGCATCATTTCCACCTATTTTTAAGGTCCACACAATGGCATATAGTGTTCTTTTTCCTGACTCTCATATTATTCGACTTTGTGGGTGGTGAACATTTTCCATGCATTTTGAGTTTTACCACATCTTCTGCATGTAGCTTTCTCTTTTTTGTTACTTGTCTCCAAAATGTTCTATATGATGAACTCAGGTGTGGTTTTCTTTGTGTTTATTTTTGAGCTTTGATGTTAAAGGAAATTGCATTAAAATTTGCATTATCAGGTTCCCCCCTTTGGGATTGTTTAGAGTTTAACATACTTTTCATTTAGAAACCTGAGTAATCAGTTCTTCACTCTTTCATACATGTCTTTTTGATTGGGATTGAGGCCTGATATCATCATTATTTGAAAGAAAATCTGTCATAGTGAGATTTTTTTAATCCTAAAAACCACTGAATCATTTCATCCTTTTAACTTATTTTGGGTAATCTATTGTCCTTCTTGTTACAAAATATCAATCCATAAGACTAACAAGAATAAAATATATTATTTTAACACCACACAAAAAATAATTCTTGCAAGTTTGCAGCAACAAAATGCAATGCTAGCACAGATATACAATAAAGATTATTCCCTTTCCTTTCACCCCAGAAAAGTATTGTATGTTAGAATTATTTACCCTAAGATTATCTCTTTTTTCCTCCAGTTAGCTCCAAGATGCTGAAGTCTGACATTTCTGTGGGTATCCTGTAGTACATGGTACTGTTTTCTAGCACTATCATAAATACAGACTATGGTAACTCCATTTAGGATTGAAATCTGACATTACAGTCGATAAGTATGGGAGTCCATGTAGACTGTAGTGTGTCAGGTACCTTATGCTTTTTAAAATCCTAGTTATACTTGGACACCCATATGTGTACTTGTACTCTGATAATAAATAGTGTGCTATGGGAGCTCTTAGTGCTTGAGTGCATCCCAATGACAATAATACTTTTAAATACTCTCGTTGCTTTCAAGAACTATGAGAAACAGCTAAGAACAGTAGAAATACTCACACAAGTCAGCCTTCCGGAGATTTCTCATTCTTATTATTTTTACATGGAGCAAGTTGATAGAAGTTTCTTCTGTCTGCACAAGAATGATTAACAAGACATACAGATACATATTAAGGTGTGGATTCATCAATAGACACGCATCTAATATAGAGGAATGAGACATAGGATGGTATGGCATGGTACAAAGGCTTTATTGGCCTGAGTTTGCAATAACCACATTATTCAAGAGAGGAAAAGACATAAGCGAGATACTGATACTTAGGTCATCCGAAATAAGTGCTAATAAAATCTGTATATTTTACCATCATTTTCTCAGTATATTTAACTGAATTTTTTAAAATCTACTAGAGCTAAAAATTTTCAATTGTATACCCTCTCTACATCGGTGAAATAAATCTTACCTGTTTGTACAGGGCCTAGCACAATGGGGACCCAGCCTCATTAGCTTTGGACATTAACACAATATAAGTAATGGAACAGACCCTAGCCCCAGTTTCTCCTCTTTGAGCCACTCTGATGTTTCAAAGAAGAAGGACAGTTGTCATATGAACACAGCTTGGGATACCCATAACATAGGTATGTAAAGCCAGCATAGTCCACCTACCCCTCTCCTGCGCACAGAATGCGGAAGAAGGCACGAAGAGGCAGAGCTGAAGCACAACGCACCCTAGCAATTCTCTGGCAGCAGAGCAGTTGCTAGGAAACATACATAATTTAGAGCAATCCCTTTGCCCCAGCAGGAGAATTAGCTCTACATTTCCTCAGCTTGCCCAAACTCCACTCCACTGCACACTCATCCACAGAGAGCAAGATTTTGTGGCACCATGGAGACAGAGACACCCTACATGGGCTCCAGAAATCCTACCATCCATACCCCAGTGCAGCAAAACTGCACCTGTTTTGCTGTATCCAAGGTCCTTCATGGCCACAGAAAGAACACTTTCAGTCTTTTTGTAGCAACAGTACAAACTCAAATTAAAATGGTTCAAATGACATAGTGGTCTATGCAATGCAGGGTTCAAACTGCCAAATTTAAAAGTACATCAAGTAGCTTATCATATATGCCAAAAGTTAAAGTATTTGCAAGTACATCAACAAACATGAATGCCTTAGGGAAACACTGAACAAGGTATGACTAATACCAAACATTCAGGACACTATTTATTTATTCATGTTCTGATTTACATGATACTGATTCTATTCTAATGCATATGTGGAAAACATGGAAGAAAATACTCGGAAAAAAATGCGTACAAGGAAATACTCACATAAGCATATACATCTGTGAGATAGTAAAGGGAAACAGGTTACTCATAGTTAGGGATAAGTAGAGCCAGAAAACAATTTAAAAAGTCAGGCTTGTTTGACAAAATACCACATTTTTCACAACTGCAAATGAAAAGGGGTATGGCAAGATCACTTTCTGCTAGCAGAGCTGGTCAAATATCTAAGGGGCTGGCCTCTGTGCAAATTGAGCTCCTCCCAGATCCATCTCTGGCAAAGTGCTACAGGTGGTGTCTGGCTGTATATTCTATTTATGTCCTTCACTGGCAATCTTGTGGTACCATTGAAGTTTTGACATCCATGTGATCATTTGCCATGTAGCCACATTCCTTGGTACATATGCTTCTGTATTTGTTGGTCTTCCATTCAAATAATATATCTATGCCAAGAAAGCCAGCAAAACTGATTCATTGCTGTTGGAGGCAATTGCTGGGTTAGGCTTCAAATATCCTCATTTCCAATCTTGTCCTGCCACTTGATATGGAGCAGTTGATGAAGACAACAAGAATCAAAAACATGAATCCATTGTTCTCCAGCCTTCCTCAGTGCCCATGTTTCATTGCCATACACTGCAGTTGGCATAAATGTGGTTCTATAAATCCACAGCTCGTTAGCAAGTTTAATGACATGGCATCCCACAGAGACCTCTAAAGGGGCTGAAACATGGCAGCAGCTGTTGCTATTCAAGTGGCCACATTTTCGAGCATCCTCCAAGCACTGATTGTGACATTGCTCAAATATTTGACAGTTGCCACCTGCTCAGTGTCATGCCTGGACAAGTTAATACTGAACTGGTTGTAATCTGGAACTGGAGGCTGCTTGATGGTAATGACCAGTGACATCTTTTTATCCAGCTTAATAACCAGACCAATTCGCGCTGCTCTTTGCCTAACTAGTTCAGCCATCATCTGCAACGAAACACCAAACTGAGCCAACCTATGGCATATTTGAGATCTCAAAGCAGAATAACATTCAGCCCACGATGCCACTGTTATCTCTTTCCTCAAGCTTATCCATCAGCCATTCAATGCCAATATTGCACTGGGTAGCAAAGGCCGGGATACTAGTGTGGCTTTAGTCCAGGTTGTTCCACTGTCAACCAGATCTGTACCTTGAGATAGCTTCTGAGAAGATGGATGAGTTTAATAAACCCTGTGCAGCACTTTTTAGATTTCCATCAGGCCTTTGATTTGGAGCATCAAGTTTGTGGGATCTGATGAGGGACTCAGCATCCCTGGGAAGGTAGTATCGTTGATAGAATGGAAAGCTGCATTTGAGTCAATGGCAGACATATGACATGGTTTTCTATCTCCACAGGAGTTTGGCAAGGCTTTTGTTCTGTTGTCATCATCATTCTTCAGGATTGGCACTGATTGGTTGATGGATAAGAAAGTTGAGGTGAGCTGGTCAAATAATATTGGGCAAAAAATGTACAGGGTTAATAATTTTGCCACATTTTTCAACTAAATTACTTGAGGTAAGGAAGTACTAGTTACTAAGGAAGTATTTACTGACTAGAATATTTTACAAATGGGGAACTGAGGCACAGAGTTGCTAAGTGACTTGCCCATGGACACATAGGAAGTCTGTGGTGGAGCAGTTAACTGAATGCAGGTCTCCAAAGTCAAAGACTAATGCTCTAACCATAGATAATCCTTCTTCTCTTTATCAATAACCAACAACTTTTCGGTCTTCCCTGTTAAACTCAGCAATAACCCTAGCATAGGCTAATAAGTTGGAGGCCAAAGCCTCTGAGTTCATTGGTTACAAACATCTCAGCTTTCAATCTCTGTATTTATTTTGGACATGGCTTATTACCTCATAAACAGGAAGCATGGTGTAATCACTATAATTACTACTGCCAGAATTGCTAAAAATTAGGTTACAAACACAGGGCCTGATCATACAGTCATACTTCATGCAGTCATACCTCAAGCAAAAGTCCCATTAACATCTATGAACCTAATTGTGCAATGCTTACTTACACATTTATTCTTACTGAAGTCAATGGGACTAATCACATGCATAAGTGCTCATGTAAGAGTTGTACAATTAGGTCCTAGGAGTGTTTTGCTAACTGATGACTCCAGGCTCAGGCCCACATATTTTGGAGTCTCCCATGAACCCAGAAATTCTGGAATATTATCCTACTGACAACTACAATTATGATTGTCTTTATCCTAATGACATTTAGTCAATGTACCCTGACTGCTCAGTACTGTCAGATATTCCATACACAATGGCCAAATAGGTTTCTTACACTCAGTTTAACAGTGGCAAAAGAATCCTTAGACAATGGACTGATATAACATGCAAAAAAAGAGGAGAAATCAATCTCAGATCCCAATAAGTCACCACTTATGAAAATATGGAGAGTCTTATGTGAAAAATAAAATGAAACGTGGGAAACCTTTCTATTATATCAAGAGAAAAAGGTAAATACCGAAATAAAATAGCCTGCCAAATACAATACTTATGACAGAATTTTTTTCCCTCTCTTCTATATTTCAAGATCTTTAAAAAAAAAGAGAGAGAGAGAGAGAGAGAGAGAGAGAGAGAGAGAGAGAGAGAGAGAGAGAAAACTAGGATATGTGCTTCTTATTTAAAATGTTATTAAAATAGAAGAGTAAAATACATTAAATGTTGATTCTGTGAAATCTGGAGCCCTTCAAGTGCAGACCACAGGCTCAGTTCTCAGCTCTGTCTGTCAGGTAGGTAGCAGCTAATAACCATTAAAGTGCATCAGAGCTTCCTGGGAGGCAGGATTTCATTTTCTTCCTTTATATGCCCCTTAACTAAAGCAAAGTCAACTGCACTTAAAGCACCTCCATTTGTATTTGCTGCTGTAACATACTTATTTCTCTCCCTTTGAAATGTCCCCTAAGGAGTTTGATTCGCTACTGTATTCAACAGAATTCAATGAAATTACCCAGCATAAAAGTGGAGTAACATAGTGATGAATAAAGACCTGTCTCTTTTTCAGGGCTATGCAAACTACACTGGATTCAGATTGCAAGAGTTCTTGTGAAACTTTTCTTCACCTCTGATCTGCATAGGCCCACACTCCGAGTTTCTCATTCTGATGGGTTCAAAAACGCAAAGAGAAACTGACCTAATCATTGCCATGATTCAGATGACTGTGCGTCAATACAGTGCTAATCTGCATGCTTCACATTCTTTTGACGGGTTGCAGTGCCTTAAGTAGCTGGATAATTATTAATTATTTTGCGTTTCAGCATGAGTACCATATTTTTTTAGGTCACAACCAACAACTTTCCATCAAATAAATATGTTTTATGTCAGCCACCTGATCCGATTTAAGTATCATCTGTACTAAGGCAAAACTGAAAGTTGCCCTCAGAGTCAAGTTTTAAAGTATGGCACTTCTCTGAAAAGGTAACTGTGTAAAAATGGCATCATCTTATGTACAGATCTACCTTGCGTATCCATAGTGACATCTGCCAACTTCAGTGACAAAAATAAGGTTTTAACTGCTTTTTATTCCTATCAGCACTGAACAGCCAACCCACCTGAGAGAAAAGGAGTTGGATCCTAGTCCATCTTGTGCATCATCAACAGAAATGTTTACTAAGTTCAAATCAGTTAACCTGTGCAAGTCCCTTGAAGACAGAAGTCATCATTTAAAGACAATGGGATTGTAGGGGTGTCATGAGAGGAAATATTTGGACTATGGATCCATTAACAAGGTGATGAAGTGCCTGGAGGATGGAACCCTGCTTGACACTGAGAGCCCAGGCTGGTAGTTAAAATAAACATGTTTTTTTACTTGTATACTGAGCACTCCTGATTGGATCATTTGATAGATAATAAAAAAGGAACCCCACTGTACCATTTTTATAGAGTCACTTTTGAGAAAACTCTGCGGTTTAAATCCTCACTGCACTCTTGTACATATACTTCAAACCCAAGAAGTAAAGCACAAAATGATTCCAGGATACAATTACTGTATTGTCAGCAGATTTTGCCACTAGCAATGAGAGTCACTTCTCCATGAGGCAAGGACCAAATCTCCACTTACTGAGGTGAGCTATAAATAATCTCCAGGGACTCTCACACTGCAACCTCACAGAAACAAGCTCTAGAAGACCTGGCTGAGACTGCCATCACCGATGACTGGAGTGACCACTCCATGCAGTAAGGAACAGAACTCTTCTTCTAAAGACATCTAACACGTAGTCCCCACAGAGCTATCACAGCTGACAGAAGCAGTATGTCCAGAAGGAATGCCCTCACATATTCCCTCACCATTATCACTGCCATCATATCCTCAGTTCCTTGTAACTTGCTCCACAACTTTACTATTCTGCATAGTTTCCACTACACCAATCTCTCACTGAGACTACTTGGAAGCCTTTTTGTTTTTTCACTTCTTTAATTGTCTTCTCATTGTTAACGGATATATTGCCTGCCTAGTCTTTTGGATCATTTACCATACTCAGTAATTGTCTAACCTCTTTCTAATCCCATTCTCCTCACTGCCATGCTTCTCTCACTCATCTCCTGGCACCTGATCCCTGATCTCCAGCCTTGTCTTGCCTTCAGCTTCTCCCATTCAGTTTTCAAATTTCACCATCCCACCCTATTTGGCATCCATATTCTTTACTGTAAACTTTCCCCCTTGCTGCCACACCTGCTTCTCTCCCAGCTGCCCAGCATCCTCCTCACACATCCTCCCTTTCTCACCACCACTGATCACATCTGCCCCAAAGCTGCCCCTTCTGTCATTTCCTCTACTTCTCCTTCCCTCATATGCACTTCTCCATCCTCCTCACCCCATTGACTCCAGGCCTCCAGCCTCTTTCCATGAAGACCAATGAAACATTAATTTGTGAGAATTTTCTTCCACGTATATGCAGTTAACCAAAAAACTTCCTCCTTTCTATATTACCAAATGAATGTGTGTGCAGAGTTAAACGCTTATGGCAGACACCAATTCCAAATTCCCACCCCAATTTCATGGTAAACTGTCAGGTCAAATTGAGCCCCAAGTTTAGATTTTGTGAAAAATAAGTTTTACTAAAATTTAAACCAATAGAAATGCTTCTATGATTTTTTTTAAAACACCACCAATGGCAATTAATGTAAATATTTTTTAAATAAAAATATTTTCTTTAGTGTTTGTAACCCAATTGTTATAGCATGTGGCAAACGCATCAGAGGGAAACTGACTAGAAGCTAAAGAGTAACTGACTGATCTATTTTTGTTATTCACAATTAGGAAAAAACATCAAAAGTATAGACAGTAAATATAAACAACAAACTAAATCTGACTTCAAAATTCTTTCCATTTTAAAAAACTGAGGTGCTATTTATAACACAGGAAAGAAAATGTATATTTTCAAAAGTCATTATTTTTAACCTCAGTGTGAACATTTCAACAGTCATGTGTAATACACTGAATTGACTCCGAAAATGTGTTGTATATTTTTCCTCCCTCTATCAGAATAACCCTACTCATTCAAAAAACGATCTCGCACATTCTGAGAAAGACAGAAAACAAAATTTACAGTCAGCGTTCTTTCAGTGCCCATTGCAGGCTTTTCTGTTACTGGCTGCAAACAGTACTAAGTACATTCATGGCACTTAAAATAAGTAATAATAAATAAGTAGTAATAATAATAATTAATAATGATCTGGCATTGCAACCCTGATTTGAGCTGGATGGTCACCGTTTCTCTCAGTAGGCAGACAGCCTCTGCCCTGGTATATGACACTTTTGGTACATGCTACTGGTTCACGCTATAGCTCCTTTTTAGTTGCTGGATAAGTTCCTGCTGTTCTCCACTTTGACGTGGAATTGCCTCCTGAAAATGTCTGCAGTAACAATGGCTCCATCTTTTTCAAATTAAGTCTCATATATATAACGCTTTAGGCCCTGAGTCTGCACTGAGAACTGCAAGGCAGACCCTGGTACCCATACAGAGCCCCACTGACAGCAACAAGGCTTTGCATGAGCACAGGAATAGTTTCATAGAGTTTAAGGCCAGAAGGGACCATAGATACCCAAATATTAAGCACAAAGACTTTAGTTAGACCAGAACATTTCAGTTCTCAGGAGACTAAACTGTGTGCCACAGGCAGAGAACAGGAAAGACCAAGGTGGCAGAGGTCCTGTCAATGGCAGGGAACTGATTAGGTGAGAGATGCCCAAAAGATCCCAGCAGGTGAACCATGCTGCCCCATGCTGTAGAGGAAGGCAAACAACCTCCAAAGACCCAGCCAATCTGACCTGGGGAGAAATTCCTTCCTGACCCCAAATGGGGTGACTGATGTGACCATGAGCACATGAGCAAGACCCACCAGCCAGGCATCTAGAAAGAAGATTCTCTGTACCACCACAGAGCACTTGGCCTCCTATACAGTGTCGCATCTCCAACAGTGGCCAATCTCTGAAGATGTGAAAAAAACTCAGAACCTGCCCATACGGGTCTCAACGCAAGCTATACAGTAGCTTCTATCTCTACTCTCTAGCAGTGGACATGTTGCCATAAACCTCGGAAAAATCCTTTCCCTCCATCCCCCCAACTTTTTTTCCTACTGTAACTATAGGATGCAGCTTCATGCTAATTACTTCTCCAGTCTGCTCAGTGAAAATCTGAACTATTTCTTAATAATAATCTTCAACAATGACTTTTAAAGGCATTTCTAAACATCACGGAAGGCCTTACAATAAAACTATTCCATACTCCAGGCTCCCTGGAAACCTCTGAAGACCGAGATAAAATCCCCAAATATATATCTCTTACCTTCAAATTTACAATTTATACCTGAAGAAACCTTCTCTAGAAACAATACCCCAAATACCTCAAACCTATATAAGAAATCCACATACAGGTGGAGCAGGAAGTGGTTGTTTTTACTGAGGGCCAGATTTTGCTGACTAGTACCTTACTTCCTGAGTTGCCCCACTGAAGTCAATGCAACTACTCTGGAGCAAGGTGCTACCCAGCATGACTAAGAGCACCAGAATCTAGCACTCAGGCACTTCTATGAGTAGAAGCACACTTTAGAACTGAATTGTGGAGCCCTTATTCACAGTGATGGGCACTTACTCAGCTAGCGTCATTAGTTTCAAAGGAATTACTTGCATGACTAAGGGTTTATCAGTGTGAGTAAGGAGTCCACAATCTGTCCCTTAAGAACTTCAGGAAACCCCATTTATTTAGAGGAACATTCCAGCTACAATCACTACACCCCCATCCCTCTGTGAGCCTTCTTTCCTTTGAAGCATTTCTTCTCGCTCTTTCACCGGCACATCTACCAATGTGATATATGCCATCATGTGCCAGCAATGCCCCTCTGCCATGTACATTGGCCAAACCGGACAGTCTCTACGTAAAAAAATAAATGGACACAAATCTGACATCAGGAATCATAACATTCAAAAACCAGTAGGAGAACACTTCAATCTCTCTGGTCACTCAATAACAGATCTCAAAGTGGCAATTCTTCAACAAAAAAACTTCAAAAACAGACTCCAACGTGAAGCTTCAGAATTGGAATTAATTTGCAAACTGGATACCATCAGATTAGGCCTGAATAAAGACTGGAAGTGGTTGGGTCATTACAAAACCTAAACTTAATTTCCCCAATACTAATTTCTCCCTACTGTTACTCACAGCTTCTTGTCAACCGTCTGTAATGGGCCACTCTCTTACCACTTCAAAAGTTATTTTTCTTCCCTTGGTATCCTGCTGTTAATTGACTTATCACGCTAGACTGACCTCACACTTGGTAAAGCAACCCCCATCCTTTCATGTATTTATGCCTGCTCCTGTATTTTTCACTTCATGCATCTGATGAAGTGGGTTCTAGCCCACGAAAGCTTATGTCCAAATAAATTTTAGTCTCTAAGGTGCCACAAGGACTCCTTGTTGTTTTTCCTCTCATAGTGTTCCCCGTCCTATCATTAGCCTCTAAATTCTCCAAGGGGGGAACAAATGTGTACACCTTACACCAATAGACACATTTCTGACACATTCCTTGTAGGGTATGCTTTAAAATTTGTATTGCGTAGTGCACTTAAAGTGCTATGGCAAAGCACTACAACTACAAAAAGTAAATCAAATAAATTGAAATTAATAAATGACAGAGGCTCCGCTTAAATAAATCCTGTCTCTGAAGGGTTGGAGACACTGAAAGAATGCATGTTCCTGCACCGAAAAACACAGAGGAGAGCAAGACATTTTAAAATGAACACAGAATAGATAGTGCCTAGATGCAGTATGACAATGATAGGCACACATTAGAAATATCATAGATAGATAGATTAGACTGGATAGATCCAACTGTTATACATACAGGTATTTCACCCCTAAAGTTAAATTGAATGGTGATTAGCAAATATGTCACTACTCTCCCCCCTGCCCCAAACCTCCAGATTTTGTTCCTAACATTTTCTGTACTGAATCTTATAATCAGCACTGGACAGCATTTAATGATGTTCCATCTGTTTAGTACCCACCTGTCTTATTTTTTGTCCTGAGATGCTGCTTAGGCCCTGAAAAATCAAGAGAGCAGAAATGGTTACATTTAAAAAAATCTTCCATTTCTGCTTTTATTATAATTTCACATTTACAATCCCACATTAAAACCAAATTTAAAGATACTCAATAAGCCCTCGGAAACTATGATAGTTCCCCACTGCACTGAAGAGCAGGTTATTCTGCATACACTTGTTTTATTAATGTTGTTGGGCATACAGTTTAGTTACAACAACCACATGCAGTAGGAGTACAGCCCTTGCAACTGCGGATACCTGAGGAACAGCAGACTTGCTCTTCCCAGATCCTCCCTACAGTTCAAGCAGAACTCTCGCCACTTCTTCTCATGTGAAATATCGGATTTGGAACCTCACACAATTTTGTTGAGCTTTGGTGGGGTTTTCCTTACCTGATTGGAACTTGAATTTGATCCCATTGCGCTCCCTGTTGCATACAAGTCTGCTGTTAAAGAGGGCACTTGAGTACTATGTCCCGCACAGCCGGCAGTGATTCCTGATAGAGATTTACAGTCTTTACACTGGCAGAAGTGGACAAGCAGGTGTTTTATTAACTGACTCAGAGCCCCACCCCTCTGCCATTTCCAAAAATTAAGCAATCTCTTCCTCCTTTCCTCAACCTATTAAGGCAAGTCTACTGAGTTAATGGAAGATGGGAATATTTATTTTGCAGCTGCCTTGATTTACCTTACTGAGGACACTGAGATCAGTGGGGCCCCATCCTCTCAAGTACAGCTTTCTAGCAAAAAACAATAATAATTAATAATAATTAATAATGTAGTACAGTTATACGGCACCTGTAATCCCCAAAAGATATCAACACACATATGGCTAATTAATTTTACAGCACTGAAAAGCATACTGGACACTTTACAGTACAACTATAAAGTCGCTGCCCTGAAACTTACAATTTAATTTTAGATGTGACTAATGGAGATGATGAACAGTAGGGAGGGGACAGGATAAGGAAGGAAAAGGGTTACAGCAATAAGAACCTGCAGCTTCAGAGTAAGAATTTGCTCATTTTAGTGGTTCAGTTAAAAGGAATTAATATATATAAATATAATTCATCCCAGAAGTAGTCTCTGCCAGCACCACACCTGAGAGACACCCTCTGAGGGACAATGGCTTCCCTATGTCCTCCATGCACCGGAGTGTAATAACTAGATCTACTCAGGAATTTTTCAACAAAATGGTTTTTCAGTCAGAAAATACCAATTTGTCTAAATCTAAATTTTGCATGGGAATGTGCCAGTTTCAACACAGCTCTTGTCAGGGAAGGTTTCTCAGGTCCAGGATGAAATTGCTGGTCAAAATCAAAGACAAATGGAGCACCCGCTCCCCACCCTAAGAATATCCAACAGCCTAGTCATTAGGATGCTTGCCTACAATGTAGGCGATGCAGGTTCATGTCCCTACTCTGCCTAGTTCACTCTTCCCTCCCCACCTGCTCCAGGACTTAGGAAGCCCATGCAAGGAAGTTATAGTTCCCTCCAGGGGCATGTAGTTAGTCCCAGTCACAATCTAGCTCATGCTGACTGTTATTGTTAACTCATTTATTGAGGGCACCAAAGAAAATCACTTCATAAACTATATACAACATCACTAAAATGCAGTCATCTGTAGGGTGGAGGCTGACAACCAACAGTACAGCATTTGGGAAGGGAGGAGTGGTAATTTTGTCCAATGACAACCCCTATTATTCTTACCAAAGTTTTTGGTGTATTTTTAGTGTCTGTGTAGTGCACACAGTTCATAAATAAGGCTACATTTATGTCACGGAGGTCATGGAAGTCACGGAATCCGTGACTTCCAGAGATCTCTGTGACATTCTCTGCCTCAGCCCCGGGGCTGCGGGACTCCGGAGCTGGCAGCCAGCAGGGCCCTGGCAGGGTTCCAGTGACAGCAGCAACAGGGGACCCCCTGTGAGGTTCCAGCGACAGGTGACAGACTCCTCAGGGTTCCAATGATGGTGACAGCCTCACACAGGGGGAGGGGGACGCCTCGGGTGAACAGCTGGGAGTGTCCCATTTTCTCTTTGGGAAATATGGTCACTCTGCAGCTCCCAGCCACCATGGACGAGGGGGGGCGGGGCTGCAGCTTCCAGCTGCCATGGGCAGAGGGGGGCCCCACAGCTCCCAGCCACCAAGGTGGCAGGGGAAACCATGGAGCTGCAGCAGCAAGTCACAGACAGGTCACAGCTTCCATGAATATTTGTTTATTGCCCGTGAAAATCTGAATGTTCAGCCTCTGAAGGACTCCTTAGAAATGTATTTTTAAAGGACACTGAGCATCTGCATCCCAAAGAGAACCAAAACCTCCCCTTATCCCTGTTTCACAACACCTCCCTAAAGCAAATCTATGTTAAATTATTATGAATAAATTTGGGTGGAGCACCCACAATTGAGGTGCAATTTCCTTGTGCATCTTGTAAAACTGGTTTTTCTAGCCTTTGGATGAGGAATATTTCTCTAGAGGAAATTCAAGTCACCATCAGATCTTTCACTGGTAGTCTGTTTGTACTAAAAATGCCAACAGACTCATTGGACAAACCATTTATCCTGGACCAAAGGGGATATGAGCCTTCTGCCCATGGCACAGCCAGAACATATTCTCACACTTGGAACAGAGATGGCACAGAACATTTATGTCATCCCACCTATTTCCCTGCCACTGCAAGAAAGTTTCCTCCATTACATTTTCCTGCACTTTTTATTTTGGGATAGCCCTTGGGTTAAGCCCTGCCTCTGACACCAGAGCTGGTTCCAGTTGTTGCTAAGTATTTGACGAATCCAGATTACCGAAGAAGAGCAATATCTCCTTTTCCCTTTTCTAACCATTCCTTGACTCTGCACTTCCTGGAGACATTTTAAATACGGAGAGCACTGACTGAATTAACAAGACCTCTGACACCTCTTTTCTCCCCACTCACTGACCTCTTTTACTCTCTGACTAAACATGTTTGGGAACCACTGCGACTTTCCACCTATTTTCCAGCCTCTTCCTTAGTTCTATCCAAGGCTCTTTTTTTCCTGCCTCATTACACTTCCCACCCACACTCATTTCTTTAACCCCTAGACGAAGGTCAGATGGGCTCAAACCTTGAGGATCGCAATCCCTCAGTGCCCATCTCCTTCAACAATCTATGGAAGGCAACTGGAATGGTCCTAGTGTCAAATTTCTTTTTAAATCTATACATTAGACCTACCCTTCCAAGACCTTTCCCTAGCTACTAGCATGCACTCAGCTATCACCTCCCATACCAATGATCCAAACTCCCTCGGAAGCAAATATTTCTACTTGATACGCTTTGGGCCTTCATGGGCCAATGGATGAGAAATCTGTCTCCTGCACATAAGTTTCTCTGCTAAGTCAGACAGTTCCATTGTTCCAGTGGAACACAGTTGTCATAGGAGACCATGATCATGCAACGTAATGTGGTCCCTTTAAGTTTCCTGGACTATTTCCATGAACACTTAAGCAAATAAGGTCTGAAACCTTGTATTTGGCCTGGTATTCCAGGGGAAACTGGTGAAGAGAGAACAGCAATGGAATGATGTGGTCTCAGTGGCTGGTGCTGTTAAAGCAAACAAGTTACTGAGTTCTGAACCAATTTTTAAGCTGACTGTTTCATACTTGGGCATAGTTAATTACATCAACCGCAGGGGCAGCTCTATGTATTTTGCCGCCCCAAGCACGGCAGTCAGGCGGCTTTCGACGGCACGCCTGGGGAAGGTCCGCTGGTAACGAGGATTCGGCGGCATGCCTGCAGGAGGTCCGCTGGTCCCGCAGCTTCGGCGTACCCACCGCCGAATTGCCACCAAAGCTGCGGGACCGGCGGACCTCCCACAAGCTTGCTGCCGAAGGCTCCCTGACTGCCGCCCTCATGGTGACCGGCAGGCCGCCCCCCGTGGCTTGCCGCCCCAGGTATGCACTTGGTGCGCTGGTGCCGGAGCAGCTCCTGATCAACAGACCAGTATTCATAAATGCATGGATCACCGTGGAAAAGTCAATCTGACAGGAGGGGGACACACTATTCATGCCATATGTAGATGGTGTTTTTCATGGCCATGGCTATTTGGATGTCCAGAAACACTGAGGAGTTCAAGCTGACACCATGAATGCAGGCAGTCTTAATAATCTGAAGGCAGACACCCTCCCTGGACAGAAATGTTCCATCTTCCCAACTGCACACCTCAGTGCAGCTAGCTGCTCTTCACTCTGTCACTGATCTCAGCCAAGTCCTTGCATATGTGGAAGATGATGTTGTTTGTGCCTGATGGGGAGATGATATAAAGCTGGATATCGTTTGCATATAGCTGATATTTTAAGTTCATGCTCATTTACAATCTCTCCAGAAGCTGCACACAGAAGTTGAACAAGATGCATCCCTCAGTTACTCCTCAGAGGAGGATTCTAGAGGCAGAGAAGCATGTGCCCATCATGACTGCCTGGGTGAGGTCTGGTAGGAACAATTGAAGCTATTTCAGTGAAGCCCCTCTAACTCCTGCTATGTCTCTAAGGTGGGAGAGCAGGATTCTCTTGTCAGCTGTATCAAATGCTGCAGAGAGATTCAACCAGAAGAGAAAGGATATGTGGCCCTTGTCTTTGGCTAAAAAGGAGATCATCCATCTATACCACTAATGCTGTTCCATGTTCTGGCCTGAAGCCTGATTAAGTGAGCTCCAGGCTATTAGCAGTATCTGAGTGGAGTTGGGAGAGACCCTTGATGATGAGCTTCTGAATTAGGATTTGTAGGAAGGAAGGCTAGGAACTGAGTAACAGTTTGGAGAGGTCAGTTGCATTGAATGATTTATTTTTAAGTACTAGCCTAATCAGAGGATACTTTAGAGCGGTAACAGATTTCACCTTTAGATATTCTGTTGACTAACCTCAGTTGAAAGAGGTGCATGGGCACTTGAATAGTTTTCAATTTATAAGAAGGATATAGACCTCAGTCTTTCTACTCTCCTCAAAAAGGAACATGATGTATTTTTCTCATCTGAAAATCACCTGGCCCACCAGCTCCAAATACCTGTAATACTAGCTTCATCCCTTCGCAAATGCGATTCTAGACCCAAACTTTGGCCTGGACTGGGGAAGGCTAGCTGCCATCATTTCTGACTGTCCCCACTCCATGGAATTCTGAGGTTCTTCTGGGAGGATCTCTATCTCCCTGGATGAATGGTCCAAGGTCACCTTAATTTTCTGGGTTCTCTTGTTAGTCAGTGAAAGGTACTTCATACAGCTTTCTGTCTTCCCATCTCAATCCCCAGAAGAGACACACCACCAGCACCACCCTGTGGTCCTAGGTAGACTTCAGCAGCATCATACTAATTCCTCTGAAGTGGCTGAATCAATTCACAAAAATACTAGAAAATCAAAGATGAATCCCCATAGTTAACACTGGCAACCATAAACTAGGAAGATTCCTCATCTAAATCAGTTTGAACGGCATGTCTCTTTGTTTACATTCCAATTACA